GTTCATCAAAAGGATTCTCTCCCTCTCATCACTCCCCCCCCCCCCCCCTCCTAAATTGAATTTGAGATTAAAAGACCAACTCACCTAATCACCAGAGGGGGAAACCGCGTCGAAAAGTCTCACTTTAGGGTCCGCACCGACAGCGGCGACGTGAGGGAACTAGGAGGCCAACACAATCCCAAGGGACCAACAATCGTACTAGAACGAAACAGAGTTTCCGTTACCGGGATCCAGAGAAGTGAACTTCTAGAAGAGGTCGTATTCTTTGGAGATATTAGCCCACACCGAATGCGAAACAGCCAACTCGAGCTCGGGCGGCCTGCCAATCATACCGTGGGTTAGGGCATTTCATCGCAATCAACTTCCGCCACCAACAATTTCAATTTTTCGCGAATCTTCACAACCATTTGGAAAGCATTGCGTCGTTGAACGCTCTGAGATCATGGATGCCCAACCACCCATTCTCAATCTCAGCCTTACAAAGATTCCAATCCACAAGAGCAATCCTGTTAGAGTCATCCGCACCACTCCAAAGAAATCTCCTCTGAATTTTCTCAATGTCCTTAATAACAGAAACTGTCGCCTTGAAAAGAGAGAATAAGTATGTGGGCATGCTCAAAAGGAATGCTTTGCACAACACAAACTTCGCCCCGCTAGATAGGTGTCTCCTACCCCATCCGTTTACCCCCGAGAGGAAAACCCAGGTATTTGGGTGGTTCGTTGCTCCACTTGCAACCAAAAATGCTCGCGAAGAAACTAGGTTCCGCCACATCCCCCACTGTGTACATTATAGATTTATCGAGGTTGATTCTTAGACCCGTAACAGATTGAAAACACATCATTGTTGCCAAAACATTCATTACCTGGGCATAATGCGTGTCGTAGAAGATGAGAGTATCGTCTGCGAATATAAGGTGAGTGACCAAGCCATATGAAGAAACACACCTTCCCCGGAATTACCGTCTTCCAAATCTGCTTGTCTGGAAACTCTTGAACACATGGAAAAACATCCTTCATAAGATTCCTGTAGAGGGAACTTACAGAAAACTTTCCATTTTTATTAGGGTTCCACAAAATTCTACAAGGGCTAAGATTATTGTTCCACCACTCAATATTATCAAGAAAGTTCATCAAAAGGATTCTCTCCCTCTCAACACTCCCCCCCCCACCCCTTAAATTGAATTTGAGATTAAAAGACCAACTCACCAAATCACCGGAGGGGGAAACCGCGTCGAAAAGTCTCGCTTTAGGGTCTGCACCGACAGCGGCGACGTGAGGGAACTAGGAGGCCAACACAATCCCAAGGGACCAACAATCGTACTAGAACGAAACAGAGTTTCCGTTACCGGGATCCAGAGAAGTGAACTTCCAGAAGAGGTCGTATTCTTTGGAGATATTAGCCCACACCGAATGCGAAAAAGCCAACTCGTGCTCGGGCGGCCTGCCAATCATACCGTGGGTTACGGCATTTCATCGCAATCAACTTCCGCCACCAACAATTTCAATCTGTCTCGAATCTCCACAACCATTTGGAAAGGATTGCGTCGTTGAACGCTCTGAGATCATGGATGCCCAACCACCCATTCTCAATCTCAGCCTTACAAAGATTCCAATCCACAAGAGCAATCCTGTTAGAGTCATCCGCACCACTCCAAAGAAATCTCCTCTGAATTTTCTCCATGTCCTTAATAACAGAAACTGTCGGCTTGAAAAGAGAGAATAAGTATGTGGGCATGCTCAAAAGGAACGCTTTGCACAACACAATCTTCGCCCCGCTGGATAGGTGTCTGCTACCCCATCCGTTTACCCCCGAGAGGAAAACCCAGGTATTTGGGTGGTTCGTTGCTCCACTTGCAACCAAAAATGCTCGCGAAGAAACTAGGTTCCGCCACATCCCCCAGTGTGTACATTATAGATTTATCGAGGTTGATTCTTAGACCCGTAACAAATTGAAAACACATCATTGTTGCCAAAACATTCAGTACCTGGTCATAATGCGTGTCGTAGAAGATGGGAGTATCGTCTGTGAATATATGGTGAGTGACCAAGCCATATGAAGAAACACACCTTCCCCGGAATTACCGTCTTCCAAATCTGCTTGTCTGGAAACTCTTGAACACATGGAAATACATCCTTCATAAGATTCCTGTAGAGGGAACTTACAGAAAACTTCCCATTTTTATTAGGGTTCCACAAAATTCTACAAGGGCTAAGATTATTGTTCCACCACTCAATATTATCAAGAAAGTTCATCAAAAGGATTCTCTCCCTCTCAACACTCCCCCCCCCCCTTAAATTGAATTTGAAATTAAAAGACCAACTCACCAAATCACCGGAGGGGGAAACCGCGTCGAAAAGTCTCGCTTTAGGGTCTGCACCGACAGCGGCAACGTGAGGGAACTAGGAGGCCAACACAATCCCAAGGGACCAACAATCGTACTAGAACGAAACAGAGTTTCCGTTACCGGGATCCAGAGAAGTGAACTTCTAGAAGAGGTCGTATTCTTTGGAGATATTAGCCCACACCGAATGCGAAAAAGCCAACTCGAGCTCGGGCGGCCTGCCAATCATACCGTGGGTTAGGGCATTTCATCGCAATCAACTTCCGCCACCAACAATTTCAATCTGTCGCGAACCTCCAAAACATTTGGAAAGCATTGCGTCGTTGAACGCTCTGAGATCATGGATGCCCAACCACCCATTCTCAATCTCAGCCTTACAAAGATTCCAATCCACAAGAGCAATCCTGTTAGAGTCATCCGCACCACTCCAAAGAAATCTCCTCTGAATTTTCTCCATGTCCTTAATAACAGAAACTGTCGCATTGAAAAGAGAGAATAAGTATGTGGGCTTGCTCAAAAGGACCGCTTTGCACAACACAAGCTTCGCCCCGCTGGATAGGTGTCTGCTACCCCATCCGTTTACCCCCGAGAGGAAAACCCAGGTATTTGGGTGGTTCGTTGCTCCACTTGCAACCAAAAATGCTCGCGAAGAAACTAGGTTCTGCCACATTCCCCACTCTGTATATTACAGATTTATCGAGGTTGATTCTTAGACCCGTAACAGATTGAAAACACATCATTGTTGCCAAAACATTCAGCACCTGGTCATAATGCGTGTCCCAGAAGATGAGAGTATCTTCTGCGAATATAAGGTGAGTGACCTCTCCCCTTTTTGAGACTTCATCCATGTGAAATCCTTAGAATTTACCTACTTCCCTCACAGAATTCAACATCCAGGACAAAACATCCATCAATAGCACAAACAGCCCGGGGGAGAGGGGATCCCCCTGTCTTAAACCTTTTGAGGCCTTGAAAAATCCTTTAGCTTCCCCATTAATCAGAATAGAATTAAGAGAAGAACACATACTTCCTTTAACTCACCTGGACCATTTCTCGGGAAAGCCTAAAATATGAAGGATTCTGAACAGGCAATCTCAATTCACGTTATCAAAAGCCTTCTCGATGTCGAGCTTGAACATGAGACCAGGCTTCCTGCTCCTCCGTCTACTATCCACCAGTTCATTTGCGATTAGCCCCGCCTCAGAAATCTGTCTATCTTTCAAAGAAGCAAACTGTTGCTTGGAAACTAATTTCGGCAGAACCAAGCTTAACCTCCTTGACAAAACCTTATTGATAAGCTTATTGATACTACCAATCAGATTGATAGGACGGAGATCTCTAATATCCTCAATCGTGTCTTTCTTTGGAGTTAAGGAGTGGGTGACACGGTTAGACAGAACACCCTAGATGAAAAAATCCCGAAAAGCCTTAAGTATATCCACCTTCAGCCATTGCCAACACTTCTTGAAAAAATCGAATATGAACCCATCGGCCCCTGGAGCTTTACTACTGTCACTGTCCGAAAGTCCAAACCAAATTTCCTGTTCCGTAAAAGACGCTCAAGCAAATTGTGATCCCCCTCGCCGAGAAGCACGCCAGCCAACTTGGTGAGATACGGGCGATGAACATTGGTTTCACTAAATAGGCCCTTATAGAAACTCAAGATGCCCTCTCCGACCTCTTCCTTACTATCGACCATCTTCCCATTGATTCTTATTCTGTTGATGTAGTTGACCTTCCTCCTATAGTTTGCCGCTTTGTGGAAATAACCTGTATTCCTTTCCCCCCCCCCCCCCAGCTTAATCCACCCTTCCCTAGACTTCTGCCTCCAGCAAATCTCTTGAAGAAAGAGAGACCTGCTAAGATCAAGAGCCACACGAGTTCTCAAACTCTTCTCGTCCTCGGTTAGATCACGCTCTTCTTTAGTCACGTCCAGATCCATGGTTTTGATAGATAATTCTTCTACCTTGGTGTCAATGTTGCCGAACACCTATTTATTCCATATTTTTACTTTCGATTCGACTAACAGCAGTCTTCTAGCAAGAAGAAAGATGCCTCCCGTTCCTTTAACACTTTCAACCATCCACTTGCTCAATTCGGTGAAAAATCTGGGATCCTCAAGCCACACATTCTAAAACCTCCACGGTCTTATAATCTTATTGTTCTCCCTCCACCTTAGAACAAGTAAATTGTGGTCTAATTCAATTCTGTTCAGGGCTGTAAGGGTGCAATCCGGGTAGAACATTTCGAATTCTTGGGAAATTAGAACCCTGTCTATGCGAGACATAGACTCCCTATTTGATCCATTACTCCAAGTATACGTACTGCCACACAGAGGAAGCTCTTGGAAATTATTCTCATTTATGAAAGCATTGAATTCGATCATCATCTCCGAGCTTCGTCTCACCCCGATATAATCATCGTGAGTCCTAACCAAATTAAAGTCACCTGCAACGCACACCACCCTTGTATGTTGACTGCAGAAAACATTTAGCTCAACAAGAAAAGCCCGTTTATCATTCCTCTTCTACGGTCCATACACGATAACCAAATGCCAGGATTTCGAAAATAGCTTATCCAAGAGCTCAACAGCCAGAAAGAAAGGCCCCTCCACAACTGAAATCCTATAAAAAAATAACTTATCCCAAATCACTACTATACCTCTAGAGCTTCTGACAGCGTTCTTCGCCACCCATTCTCTTTCCTTTCTAGAACACAAACTCCCAATCAAGGACTCGTCGCAAACAGACCATTAAGTTTCGACCAAACCAATAATTTTGGGATTTTGTCTTCCCAACAGTCTTTTAACTCTGCTCCTCTTATCAGGATCCCCAAGACCCCTCACATTCCAAATGCATCTGTTTGTATCCATCCCTCAGCGATCATTGCAGTGCCCACCTCTCCCTTGTTTGACCTTCCTTGGACCTGTCGGAGGAGAACCCTGAGGCCCCAACCTGAATATCTCCATCTCCAACTTGGAACGGGAGCTCCTGATCTTTCTTTGATGAAGTGCAATAGCAGAATTGGCGATCTGTCTGTCCAGTTCTTCAGACCCCCCTTTGTGGCCCAATTCTAATAATGTCCCCACCAATATGCTTGTTTTGACCAGGGATTCCTTATTAAAAGGAAAAACATTCATATCCCAATCATGAATGCTGGTAGAGGTAGCAAAGACGGGGAAGATAGGTCTTGTATAGCTTCGGCGGAGGAAACGTCTTCATTTCTCGGAGTTGAAGGAGTTTCCGAAATAGGAGTCAGCTCAATCCCGGTAGACTAATTTGAGATTCCATGACAGAACTGTCTTCCCAGGACGGTATCTCGTCGAAATCAAAAGATTCATTAACCCTCGCCATCCTATATGAACCTGAAGCCCTCGCAAAATCCTCGATAAATACTAATTTAGGTTGAGACCCATAGAGGCAGACACGAGGAGTCACCCCTCTATCCAATCGTACATCCACAAACTTCCAAGGACAGAACCAGTTGAATCAATCGAGATCGACGCAACACAGCTGGGCCTACTTCCAAAAAAAAGCCCAGACGAGGCCCCCCATAATTGAAAGTGAAAGGAAGAATAGTGTTGGAGTGAGTTCTTAAAAAGAGAGCATTGATCGTTAAAAGTAGTGTGGCAAATGTTTAATTCTCTAGTACCCACCTCAAAAAGAAAATAAAAAGGAAAGTAGAAAGAAAAAGAAAGGGAAACGAAAAAGAGGTAATAAAACGGGGTAAATAAAGTAGAGAGTGCTACAAGGAATCAAAGAGTATGCTCTAGGTGAGGTTTCTTGGCACACAAGCCATTGAAACCTCCGCATTGTCTTAGAACTCCTTCGCTGCCAAATCAAAGTGTGATAGCAAGAGTGGACCGAGGGAGAGTGCTTAAGGGAAGTTCATGATGGGTGATAGTTTGGAAGGGAGAAGGAAGGTTTTTGACCGATGCTAGTGGTCATTGTTTGTGAGGAAGGTTCTTAGTCGAAACCATAGAACCTTTGATTTTAGGGTGAAGATGTAGGACCTCATGATGTGTTTGCCACCACCCAAAAAAGCCTTTTCCCCATTTCCAAGACAATTGCCAGTCATTTGAACCCGTGTCTAAGACCTTCGGACAAGCTGATGACAACCGTTCCGTGAACTCTAGCATTTAGAGGTTGCTGCCATGGAGTTGAGACGATAGGGCTGAGAGTTGATGATTGTGCACATTTTTTGCACCAAAAGGTCCCGACCCCACTAGTCAAGAGAGTGAGTGATTCATTCTTGTTTGGATGTCATATCATACCCCAATAAGGACCTTTGTTGCCCATCCGTTTGTTCCATGGACTTGAACTCTATGCATGGTTAGTTGTGGTTGGTAAGTGATCTTTTTGAGACTTGCATTAATCCATGAACAAGGTGAGAACTTTTCATTTGCTCATTTCTGGTAGCCTCGAATGTCGTTTGTGGCGGATGTCGGTATTGCTTGCAATGGTCCTTGTGTTAATTGCCAATAGCCATTTGAGATTCACCACTTTGTGCCCTTTGAATTGTCCCCAAAGCATTTTGATAGGTTGAGTTTTTACCTTGTGTGAAATGGTTTGCTTGGGGCGATGACTTGATATATACACATGTTTTTATCCACCATTCATGTACCGTTTGAGTCTCATCTCTCGTGTTTTAGGTCGATTTCATGCTAGGTTGTTCTTGTTTGTGATATTTCAGGTCCTAGTACGTGAAATAAGGTTTGGGAACGAGTTCGGGTTCGATTGAACGAAGTTGGGACGTTTGACGAAAAGCTGGAAATTCCACACGGGCATACCTAAATTCCACATGGTCGTGTGACTTGGCCGTGTGACACCAATTTGCATGGGCAAGCCACACTGGCCGTGTAGGGGACCCCTTGTGGCCGTGTGGAATGTCCAGGGAGCTCACACGGCCAGACTGGAAATCTACACGGTCGTGTGACTCTGGCTGTGCAGCGTGCCTGAAGTCCACTAATCGAAACGCGGCGTTTTCACATCCACACGGGCAGACTGGAAAGCCACACGGTTGTGTGGCCTGGCCGTGTGGTCGGGAAATTCTGGGTTTTAACCCAATTTCGAGCCATCGTAGAGGGAATCGACTTTTTGGAGCAAAAACAGAGTTTTAGAGAGAGAAAGTGCGAAGAACAAACCCTAGGAGCTATTTGGAGTGGATTTCTCACCATTGAAGCCCAGATTGCATCCCCAGGAGTGAAGATCATCATCCCAGAGCAGATTATCCTCATTGTTATGAGTATGACTACTCTGATTTCTGTTTTCCTCTCTCTCTCTATGGAGTAGAACTTTCTCTCACTTGGGTATGAAGAACCCTAGTTCCATGTGTTAGGGATCTTGATTGTAATGACTTGGGATTGTTATACTGTTTGATTTCAATCAATTGATGCATGATTCATTGAGTCAATTGAAGTCTGATCATCTTTCTTGATTTCTGCTGCAACCTGAGATAGATAGAATCTGATTAGGCTGTTAGAGCTTCATCAATCGGTAGTGGTAGATTGGTTATACGAGAGTTAATCGATTTACTGCTTTGTACAGGAACCCAATTCTAGTAGTGGAGTTATGTGCTTATAGCCTCAGCAGTCTATCCCGGTGAAGGTTAGTCGCCTGTCGGTTAGCCTGTCTGAGAGAGCTTGGTCAGCTTAAGAGATTCCAAGCTATCTTCCGCAGTTTAATCAACAGTTAATCAACCCAGGGTAATTACAACCTCGACCTAACTAAGGAGCTAGGGGGACTCATTCCCGAGTGACTCTTCCCTTGCTTTAGAAAACCGAACCATTTCCTGCTTTCTTATTGCTTTTAGTTAAAATCACAATCACTCGACTTAGTTTGCTAGATAATAGATATTCACGGAGTAGGCAGTAGATCTAGACCCTGGGTTGACAAATAGAGCTTGCTTGTTACTGCATTTCTAGACTGCGATTACACTTGGTCACAGTTTGGTGTTGTGTTCTAGCGTGTCAAGTTTTTGGCGCCGTTGCCGGGGAACCTCTAGGTTATTGTAAAAACGTGAAAGTCTGTTACTTTAGCGTTTTTCTTTTCTTTTCCACCCTTGCTTTTGACTTGGGTGTTATGTTTTTGTTGGTGCAGATCTGAAACATGGATCCTCATGGCTTCTCCAACCATTGGGGGTATCAACCACCATCCGGGTGGTATTACCCTGAGACTTCCTGGAGCAATCAAGGAGGAGAAGACTATGGATTTGGATGTCAGTACCAACCCCCTACTACAGAGAACAACCAAACCCTTGGGAACCTAAAGAACTATATCCTTTTCAAGGAGAATTCCTGCCACAACCAGAGGGGCCATCTGAGTTGGAGTTAGCCATGTAGGCCTTCACGGGCCACTTGGCAGAACCATGCTACACTCCACTGGCAGATCCAAACAAAAAATTGAGGCTTCTCGTGGAGCAGTTTGCTCGAGACACTGAGAGATCATGCTCCAAGATGGATCTTCAAATCCAAGCCCTTGCCCCTTATGATCCCTCATTTCTCCATGAAATGGAGGAGTCTGTTCAGTGCTTAGCAAAGCAAACAGAGTGGGTGGAGCAAGTTTGCGCACAACTTGCTCAAGATCAACTTTTTGCTACCATACTAGAAGAGGAGGAGGATGACGAAGGCAATGAGGACATTAAGGAGCATATAGAAGTTGTCGCGGAGAGCTCCTATAATAGTCATGATCTGGAATGTCCTATGGTGGCAGGTCACACCTTTCTCCATCTCTCCTCTAACACGATGGGCCCGAGCCAGGAGATGCAAGATGATCTCATCGAAGAAATGGCTAGGCGACTTGCTCTCCAATCCGTGCTGGAAGAAGAAGCGCGAGAAAGGGTGAGGAAAGAAGTTGTGGAGGATGACAGAAATGAAGCACAAGGAGTTCTTGATCTATACCAAGGGGAGAGACCACATTCTGAAGAAGGAAGGGGGGTTGAAGAAGCAAGTGGTGTCCAGGCTGAGGATGAAGGTGAGGTGGAAGAGGCTTGCACTGGCCCTATGTTACATGTGATTTCTCCACCGAACTTCGAGGAGCTGCTTGGCAAGGACCCATTTGCAGTGTCTCTTTGCCAGACCAAGACCACGTCAACAACGATACCTCTTGGTGGATGTGATGGTGGTCAATCGATGGTATCTTATATGGTTTGGGGCAATGAGACAAGAGCAGACGCGAAGGAGAGGTCTCGAAAGTGGAGACTTCATCTTCCTCAAGGCCACGAGCCATCTTCATCACCTATCACATCACATGCTCGTGACTTGAGACTCTACCTTATTAATGAGAACCTCAACTTCAAGGAGGTTCTAGCATGGACCAAAACTTAGGAGCCACCGTCCGGCTAAGACGTAAAAGAAGCGCTTGTGGGGAGGCAACCCCACCAAGGTTTGTTTTTCTTTCGTTTGTTTTTCGATTTGTCCACTTGGAACTATGGTTTCTATCACCCAGTGTGTTTTGATGACTCTAGCCCTGTGACTGGTCCCATTTCCAGCCCCTCCGACAATCCTTTTCCCGGTAACATCGTTTCCCCTTATCTTTCCCTCTGCTCCATTGAGGGCAATGTCGTGCTTAAGTGTGGGGGGTGGTATCTATTTTTGACTGTTATATGAGTTTGTGTGCTTGGAGCCTAGTCCACTGTCCAATTTGATGAATTGAGGGCTCCAAGTACTGTTCCCTGCAAAATCCTGCTCAGTATGCTTTGAATTGACAGTCTTCATGGTGATATGCAACCTAGGGAGGTAGTTGTAGCACTATGGAGGATGTTGAAGTATAAGATTTTCTATCTGTCTCTCTGCTGTGCCGGTTGATTTTGTGAACTAGTGGATTTAGGACCGTTGATTCATGTGGTATTGATGACTCCTCTTATGTTGTGTTGTGGACTCGTATATTGAAAAAGGGTGCTCAAGTGTGAAATGAAAAAGCAGTTGGTCCTCCATGTCAAAAATTTGGAATTCTAAGACATGGGGTAAGCCCAACGTGTGCGGCACCGTTCATTGCACAAAATCGGGTTTTGGAAGAGATTTTAGTGATCCTTGGTGGGGTAGGCCTACAAGGTGAAGCTAAGTTGTCTCTAGTACAAGTAAAATTTCCACCCTTTGAACGTTTTGCCTACTTGAGGATGTATTTTTAAGGGCACGGATAGAGCTTCCGAACCCCCTTAATTTCATTGACCCTCCACACGAAGTGAGGAATAGGAGTTCAAAGAAGTACTCTGCAAGTGACAGATGTATAGAAATTGCTCTTGCTCACCTAATAAGGGCAGACCGCGCATACAAACTGCAATTGGAACCCAAAAAAAAAAAACAAATAGTAAGAAGAAGGGGTTCCAACAAGTGAAATGAAATGAAAGAGCACCCGATACAATGAGTCCTTGGTTGTTGAATTGTGTGAGTCTCCTTATCCATGAATTGACTGTCTTAGTTCCACTGCGTTTCATGATCCTGGCTTGAGTCTAGTAATCTCATTGAGAGAGATAGGGGGCGTCTTAGAAGACCAGTTGACCTCGTAAGTTGCTAAATGATCTAGAAAATCCTCTGCCGACGATCGGGATTGCATGTTGCTATAGAGGTCTGGAGAGTTGTATCGGTTTGAGTCAGGTTTGCTTGGGGACATGCAAACGGTTAAGTGTGGGGGAATTTGATGACTTGATATATACACATGTTTTTATCCACCATTCATGTACCGTTTGAGTCTCATCTCTCGTGTTTTAGGCCGATTTCACGCTAGGTTTTTCTTGTTTGTGATATTTCAGGTCCTAGTACGTGAAAGAAGGTTTGGGCACGAGTTGGGGGTCGATTGGACGAAGTTGGGACGTTTGACGAAAAGCTGGAAATTTCATGCTAGCAGACCTAAATTCCACACGGCCGTGTGACTTGGAAATCCAGTCTGGAAACCCACACGACCGTGTGACTCTGGCCGTGCAGCGTGCCTGAAGTCCACTAATCGAAACACGGCGTTTTCACATCCACACGGGCAGACTAGAAAGCCACACGGCCGTGTGGTCGGGAAATTCTGGCTTTTAACCCAATTTCGAGCCATCCTAGAGGGAATCGACTTTTTGGAGCAAAAACAGAGTTTTAGAGGGAGAAAGTGCGAAGAACAAACCCTAGGAGCTATTTGGAGTGGATTTCTCACCATTTTAGACCAGATTACATCCCCAGGATTGAAGATCATCATCCCGGAGCAGATTATCCTCATTGTTATGAGTATGGCTACTCTGATTTCTGTTTTCCTCTCTCTCTCTATGGAGTAGAACTTTCGCTCACTTGGGTATGAAGAACCCTAGTTCCATGTGTTAGGGATCTTGATTGTAATGACTTGGGATTGTTATACTGTTTGATTTTAATCGATTGATGCATGATTCATTGAGTCAATTGAAGTCTGATCATCTTTTCTTGATTTGTGCTGCAACTTGAGATAGATAGAATCTGATTAGGTTGTTAGAGCTTCATCAATCGGTAGTGGTAGATTGGTTATACGAGAGTTAATCGATTTACTGCTTTGTACTGGAACCCAATTCCAGTAGTGGAGTTATGTGCTTATAACCTCAGCAGTCTATCCCGATGAAGGTTAGTCGCCTACCGGTTAGCCTGCCTGAGAGGGCTTGGTCAGCTTAAGATTCCAAGTTACTGTCGGATCTTCCGCAGTTTAATCAACAGTTAATCAACCCAGGGTAATTACAACCTCGGCCTAACTAAGGAGCTAGGGGGACTCATTCTCGAGTGACTCTTCCCTTTCTATAGAAAACCGAACCATTTCCTGCTTTCTTACTGCTTTTAGTTAAAATCACAATCACTCGACTTAGTTTTCTAGATAATAGATATTCACGGAGTAGGTAGTAGATCTAGACTCCGAGTTGACAAATAGAGCTTGCCTGTTACTGCATTTCCGGACTGCAATTACACTTGGTTGTAGTTTGGTGTTGTGTTCTAGCGTGTCATGGGGACAAGCAAACGTTTAAGGGTGGGGGAGTGATTCGGGTCTAAATGCACACATTTTATCCCCGTTTCCCTTGGGCTTTTGTAGCATTTGGACTCCAAAAAAGGGTGGTTTTACGCTACGTATTGTGAGTTTTAGTGTGTTTCAGGATCCAACAGGTGAAACCAGTCCCGGGGTGTCAAAAGTTGGACGAAAAGAGGCGAGGACCGGGCAAAGAGGGTGATCCAGGCGCAGTTCACGGTTCACTATGGTCGTGAACTGAAGCCCAAAACCGTGAACCAGGATGCATTTAGGGAGAATTCTGCAGTTAGTACCGCGGGACGAGTTCACGATCAATAAGACCGTGAAGATTGAGGCCAAACCGTGAACTCCTGATGGCGAAGCGGTGTGTTTCGGCATCGCGCTCTATGTTCACGGACGTGTTGAAGAGTTCACGACCATGAACTGAGGCCGTGAACTGAGCCCGATCCTGGTATATAATGTGAGCTGAAAGAAAGAGAGAGGGGGAGGCCAAAGTGTGAGAAAGTGTCTTCTTCAGATTTTAGAGAGAGAAAGAACGAACCAAGGAAGAAAGAAGGCTACGGTTTGCTCTAAGTGGTGGATTGGGAAGATTCTCCCCAAGAGAAGATCAACACAAGCTCAAAGGAGATTGGAGGCATCACCATGATTGTTTCTACCTCTTCCTCTTGTGTTCTTCCCCTTCCTAGCATGGAGTAGTACTCTTTTTCACTTGGGTGTTGTGAAACCCTAACTATTTGCTATGTAGTTGTTGGGTGAATTGAATGATTTATTATGGGTGTTTTTGAATTCAAATCATTCAATGATTGAGGTATATTTCATGTTGATTGTGCATGTTTGTGCTTAGCAATCCAATTGGTCATTCTAACCTAGATGAGAAGGAAAACCCCCTTTTAAAGGAGGCTCAATTGAGTTGGGATTCCTTGGACTTTTTAAGCAACCTATCTAGGTTAATGTAGGGCAAACCTCTATGTTGAATTAAGCAATTTGGTTAAGTGCGATTAAGCCGACCAACCATTGGGTTGAGTGATAGAGTAAGTCAACCATTGATTGCCTTCACCAAGAGGGCTAATTGAGTAGCCTATAATGTATCCTTTGGTTTGGCAAACGAGAGTGTGGTCTACGATCATAGTTGAGTTTCCTAGCGGTTCACGGTCACCTTGCCCGTAACAATTAATTCAATTCTTCATGCCATGGTAGTAGTTAGGGGGAAGCGACACCCGAGTGATCCTTCTCACATAGAGCTTTCAAAATCGTTTACTTTTGCCTTGCTTTACTTTAGTTAGCAATCTTTTCAACCAAAACCGATTCGCTAGATAATGCTTCAAACAATTGAAGTAGGGGTACACGGACCACCCCGAGTCAATATTTAAATATACTTGCCCTGTATTGCACCCTACTAAGGTTTATACTTGGACCTTAGGCGGAAATTAATTGTGATATTCAGGACGAGTCACAGTTCGACAATGTACGGGTCGTCAATACCTACATAAATAAAGCCCTGCACAAAAACCATTGTACCTACCCTATCCCTCACCACCAAACCCCCTTCTGAATGTGGAACCCCGAGCAACTACACCATCCACACTACAACCAAAGGAATCCCCATCGTAGTACCCATCTTCTTATCACGTTACCCCCCTAGCTACCACCAAAGGGGCACCTATCCCGATAAAGCAAGCCACTACCGGACCTGCTCTTGATACTGTTGGAGTAAAACAGAGCTGTTGTACTATATGTGGTATATGAATTGTTGGAATATTCCATATTAGTACATATTTATAACAATAACTTTACATCCTTATTGTTTTTGTTTTTGTTTAATATTAGTATTAATTTTGGTTTTTTTTAATGAAGTTATTGTTTACTTGTTGTGTTGAGGGAAATGTTTATGGGATTAATCCTATAAATATGTACTTTTGCGATACCTTTCAAATAAGAGAAGAATAAACCAGTATTTCATTTTAAATATCGTAGTTTCTTAGGAGTAGCAGTAATTAATTTATTGATTATCGACGCGTGAAATCAATTACTAGTTAATTGGTATAAGAGTCTGGTTCCTCCAAAACCGCAAATGATGCCCCTAATGAAGAACCACATGTCATCGACATCCTTAGAGGTCATCACGGAGTAAGAGATAGGACAACAACTTTGGGAGATTATTGAAGCACAAAAAAAAGACGAGGGCACATATAGAAGCCTCCGATCTCCATATGCAATAGGACAAAGAAGACTGGAGCCAAATCCAATTGGATGCCCAAAACCTCAAGAGGAGCAAAATGATCTCTAAAGTAGTCTTGAGCATATGAGCAAGCTAATGCGGACGGTACAAGAGAAGTGGAAGTTTTGCTTGAGAAATCACGAAGCGATGAACAGAAGGAGATAGAGACGACAATGCAACATATGCATGGCTTCATCGCAAGCAGCAGTCGAAGGACCAAAGTCGCAAAGGAAAGAAGGAGGACTCTTGACATGATTTTGGTCGACAAAAAACTAAAATCCTTGGCTGAGGAAGAGTAGGTAATGTTGAAGGAGGTAAGCGGCCGAACGGATATCTAAATTCCACCATCTCTATTCCGAATCATCATACATTATTGGGGAAAGGCCAACAAAATGACCATGAAAGAGTAGCGCATTATTAGAGAACCGAGAGTTCCAATCCTTGGGGGCGTGTGGGGAAGCCTGGTAGTCTGCGATGCAGAAGATGACTAGAAGATCCAGGAAACAGGGAGGTAAGAGGAGGCGTTGAGCCGATGAAGTGGGTCGACGATCTCGGTGGGAACAGTTGAGCACCAGGCCGAATGGGGAGCCATCACAATGAATTCGAGTCAGGTATGGCGGGATGTTGCATTGTGAAGTCGCCTTAGTGGTCTTAATATGTACGCATGAAGCCTTACTATATGGAGTCAGGCCTGCGAGTTAGGGGTTCAATGGGTATGGAGACAAAACATGTCCGCATACAAGTTAGGGAGTGGCTCGAGCGTACGACTGGCGTGCACCATTGGATTGGTGAATTAAGAAAGAAGGGCTGGCACTTATAGAGTCCAACCCAGTGGACCCGACTATGACAAAAATGGGAAGAAAGCATGATGTCATTGATTGTACCATGAAAAAAATTTACTTGGCCCGAAGGTCAGGATCGTATTTCCCTAGAGCCTCTCACATAACCCTTACTTTGGCAGCCAGGTACGAGTTTATTTATTTAGAAAATGATGTAGGAGGTTGAGGTGCCTTTAGTTTTTCAAAACTAAAGCTAAAAGAAAAGAGTGGTGCAATAAAGTAAATCTATACTACGTTGGATGAGTGAGAAAGCAGAGAAGGATAGAAGTTACATAGGCATGCTCCCCCTAGGTCTCCTAATCACGTCTCCCTCAATACAAGGCATGGTACGAGCTGTCGATTTAGTATTATGTTTTTATCCCTCCTTGTGTCAAAGCATTTACTCTAACTAATGGGAGATAAGGACCCTACAGATTTCTCTCTGGAGGCATCATGTCGTTTGATCGAATGAGGATAGAGAATAGAACCGTCATGTCTGGTCTAATCGTACACAGCTGGGATTTCTATTCTTGCACCACAAAGGATTGCAAGGTCGACTAAGCATTCATTCAAGATGACAAATAAAAAATAGTGGAAATCAAGCATCAATAGATATGAAATAAATCAATCGTATTAAGCCAAACATCAAGCTTTATATGACTAGAACCTCTAGGGTTCACATACCTACGCAACTAAACGAACTAGCCCACCATGGCGAAGGATTTCTGGGAGATCAACGATCAAATCGGAGTCTAAGAAAACCACTGGAATCAACGGCCCGACAAAAAAAGCATAGCCTATGCTGAAATTTCTGACATTGATTCCTCCCTCTCGGGTGGTTCCGCTCTAAGTCAGGTGAGTAGCTCAGTTGGCAAAGTAACAACCCTTTCTTGACCTCTCCTCTTTTTTTCAATCTCTAGAGGTCTATTTAAAGGCCTTTGATTAGGCTTTCTGGGGAGAGAAACTCATAGATATTGCATCATCCGACCAATCAGGAAGCTCCAAACTCGTGGCCAGCGAATCAGGAACCTCTACTTGCATCATCCGACCAAGAAAAGGTGCCACGTAAAAGTGGCAACAACAGTTCTGTTTCTTAACCTGGGTAGGCATTTTGGGCACCTTTTCGTTAAGCCCAGCTTCTCTTTGAGTCCCGACTCCAGAAACTAGATCTCGATATCCCTTTCGGCTACCAAGTGCTCCACTAGTCTGCTTTGACAAAAAAATGCACAAAGCCCTACCAAAAGTGCATCAAACCTGCAAAAGCAATCATAGGGTTGCTAAAACAAACTTTAAGCATTCATAGCACGAACTCAATGTATTATGATGATAAATATATATTAAATGAATGTACTTTGGATCATAATACAGGGGTCTAGAATAGTCAATTATACGTGTCATCAAGGCCCCCTAGAGGCGACCGACTCGAAATAGGGTGGCCAGCGTAGGCTTTGGGTCGCCCTGGCTAGTGGTCCCAAAACCTGATGGGCTTGTAACCCCTTTGACGTGAATGTGATCAGGCATGGGGCCCAAAATCCAATGGTTGGCAGGTTGCTAAAACAACTCTTCCTGAACTCTCTTCTTTTTTTCGATTTATATCTTCCAGAGTTCTATTTATAGGCCTTTGATTAGGCCTTTTGGGGAGGAAACTCATAGCTACTGCATTATTCGACCAATTAAAAAGCTCCAAACTCGAGGCTAGCAAATCAGGAAGCTCCTAGGTAACTTTCTAACAAAGTAGAGGTGCCACTCAAAAATGGCAGCAATGGCCATTTCTTAACCTGGGCCGCTATTTTGGGTTCCTTTTTTTTAAGCTAGCTTTCTCTTTGAGTCTTAGCTCCAGCAACTGGATCTCAATTTACCCTTCGACTACCAAGTTGGTCAATAGTCTGCTTTGACCCAAAAATGCAGAAAGCGCTACAAAAAGCGCTACAAACCCGCAAAAGAAATCCTAAGGTTGCTAATACATACTTTATGCATTCATAGCACAAATTCAAAGTATTATGATGACAAAGATAAAATGTATGCACTTTGGAACATAATACGGGGTCTAGAATAGTCAGTTCTACATGTCATCAAAGCCCCATGGAGGTGGCCGACTCGCATCAGGGTGGCGAACATAGGCTTTGGTCGCCCGAGCTAGGGGTCTCAAGATCTGATGGGCCTTTAACCACGTTTGATGTGAATGGGATCAGGCATGGGGCCTAGAATCCGATGGTTGGAAGGTTGGGGAAAATGCTTGGGATAGGCAAGATGGAGGCTTTTCAAGTGGCGAGACCGGACACATTTGTATAGTGAGTGAGGGACTAATATTGGATTGTAAGCGAAATAGTAATCATTAATCAAAGTCCTCTCTTCCATCGCATGATTTGTGTCGCTATTGGATTATGACAGTCACAGCGTGCCCCTTCCTTTACTAATTTACATTAATTGTAGACAACCCTAAGCAAGGGCGTAGCCAGAGAGTAAGAAGGGGGTTCCATGGCACCCCCTTGATTTTGAGAAACACATAAAAACTTAGTAGTATTAATATGCCAATAATAAAATTTGATCCCAAATTTCAATGTTAATAGTCAAAATTCACAATTCAACCATAATCAATTTTATAAGTTAATTTTATCTATTAAGTTAATTTTATATAGTCTAGTTTATCTAATGGATAAGAGAGTGCAGATTATTAGAGAAAATAATTTACTTTCTATAAAAATAGTAGTCGGAAGAGAAAATTTGTTCTTATATTTGCATGTGCAATTAGGTTTAGGCTAATACTTTTTTCAATAAATATGTTGATATAAAATTTTCTGAAATGGAACATGAGAGTGCATCATGGGTCATTATTCAAAAAATATTTTTATGCACCCTCTTAAATAAATCTGGCTACGCCACTGACCCTAAAAAATAAAATATTATTAACATAAAATATTATTATTGAGTGGAACTAGTATTATCTCATGCTAATAAAAATTGGATGTTTGCCCGCTGACCTCTACAGATCTAAAATGATATGAGCTAAAAGATAAAAGATGTGCATTCCTATTACTATCTCGACCACAAAGGCACAAGGAATCGGGCCCAAACCTTGTGTTAAGTATTTGATTTGTTCACATATGTCCCCCATCTATAGGAGAGAACTTCCTCCCTTCACATTATTGTAAGAAAAACTTATGGATAAGGAGAAGATAATCAGTCTCAATATCTATTGAGATGTGGCAAATGAAATGAATTCATGAACTTATGGAATTATTAATTCATGAATTTGATTAAAGTGATTGGTTTATATATTGATTGGATTCGTGGATCCAAATGGTATCTAACTTTTTTATCATTATGAAATTTTTGACAACTTTAAGTAATAAAATGTCATTCAAAGAATTTTTAGGAGCCAAAATGTAGTTTTATAAGTTAATTTCTTTCGTAAAAGTTAATTTTTAGATACCAAATTGTAGAATATAAAATATAAATGTCCTAAAATGCATTTGTACCGCAATCAATTGATCGAATCAGTTATATTAGGGTTCAATGGACTGAATTAAATAGATTTGGATTGGATTGGATTAATTGAACTAATTAATTGGACTTTTTAGTGGATAGATTGAATTCGAATTGTCATTCCTATGATCAACTACTTCCAATTCAAATATGAACATATCTATAATCTATACCATTTCCTTATGCTGACCCAGGAAATATTGTGAAATTGACCATGATTTGTTTTGCTTACTAAATGCAATAGATGCAATGAGAGACCCAACATTCTAAATTTTGTGAGATAAATGAGATAATATTAATTTGGGAGGAGACATAGGAAAGATCAACGTTATTGGCGTCAAGAGACATGTGAAGCAAAGATTGAGGCACAAATTTCGGCTGGAATCTTTAATCAAGGTTCAATAACATAATAATAATCATCAATCAGGTGATTGGTTGGCAATGATTGCTTAATTAGTTGTGATTAACAAGTGAATGTATGTATTAGCATTGGACGACAAGCAATCTTAATTAAAGTACACCCTCAGGGAATCAGGAAGAAGAGGGCCTGAATTTAATTACTTGTTAAGTCCAGACAATAGGCCTGAACTCAGGGATAATCCCACATGAAGATTACTAATCCCTAACCGCCCATGTTGCGAGGTCATAGAACATTTCCCCAGCAAAACACGATCTTCATCACATATATTGACTATTCTTCAAGTTTAATATTTGATCAAATAGTGAGAACACAAAAAGAATATTGTTGAGCAAATTCGTCCAAGTACGTTTAGTACTCTTGAATTCAATTAATTAGTTCAGTAATACATGCATCATGCACTTTGATTTTTGAGGGCTAGACTTCTGCACATGCAACGGTGAACCACCTATATATGCCGTGGATTGACGTCGTGATTCCTGTTAATTCTATATACTGGGTAAGGTTTTGCATAGGATAGTTTGAATAGTTTTGTTTGGGATAGTTATAATGTTTGTATTGTTCACAATTCATTAATTATTTTTATTTTATGTAAATAAGTGTTGAAATTTGTTTGATGTCAAAGAAACTATATATCACTCAAAATTAGATAATTAAATCTTATTCTTTGAAATTATTGAGATAGTTTCCATAAGATTATTATTTTTCAACTATATATCTAAATTTATATATGTGGTATCTACTACATTAAAATAAAGAGCAAAAGTCACTCAAAAACTAATATAATTTATTTAAATACTACAATAACTAAAATAAAATAAAAATCTACAATACAAATGTTTTCTTAATTATATTATATATGCATTGATAAGAAGGCATGCATTTAGAAATATGCATTGATCTCAAAATCGAATCACTCCGTTTTGAAATACTTCAATGACTTTTTCTGATCTTTAAAATAAAGTTCCTTTATAAGGGTCATTTGGTTTTAAATTTATTTGTAGAAGCAGGGCCACCCATTATATTCGGGCCCTGTTCTAAAATAAAAAATGTGGCCCTAAAATTTTTCTCCACAAATTTATTATAAATAAAACTTATTAAATAATTATAAAATACATAAGTTTAGAAAATTATTACAATAGGGTCTAGCGATAATATTATCGATCATTGTTTGAAAAGTAACAACCGTCTAGTATTATTGGAAATAAAATCCTCTATTAGCTCTTCCAATTTAGCATCATCCAAGAAGTTATTCTCAATTGCCAACATAGCTAATCCGTTAAGCCTCTTTTGTGTCATTGTAGAGCGCAAATAAGACTTCAACAACTTCAACTTCAAAAAGCTTCTTTCTGCTGTAGCAACAGTTACATGAATAGTTGATAAGATTCTATATACAATGCTTGCATTAGGAAAACAATCGACACGTTTCAAAAAGTTTAAAATTTCAAAAGGATGAATACATTCCTTAGGTAAAAAAATCTGGTAATAACTTAAGCTCATATACAAATCATTACCATCAATATCAGATTGGTCGTTTTTCTTAAGAATGGTTTGAATATGGATGCAAGAAGAATTCAATTTTTAATAATCCAAGGAAAATAATTTCTTAAAACTAAATAAGAAACCAAAATTAGATTGAAAACTACTATATTGCTCAACTCAAATCTTTTAGTAAGTGAAGAAATTGCTTGATACACTGCGCATAGGAAATAATTAACTCTAAAGGATTCCACCCTAGATAAAGATGCATTATTGGAAGAATTTTTCAGGAACCTCGTCAAAATGCCTCTTTCTTTTAATCTCGCGCTTTTGAGAAAAATTTGGAATAACATCCATTGTCGTGCAAACTTTCCTCGCTAGCTCTGAGGCTTTTTGAAAACCATCTTTTCTATATCTTTTGAAAAATGAAATCAATCCATCTTTTTAAAATAACATCATCAATAAGTATATCTTTGGATTGTAAATGTTTACTAACCGAATTTGTTGAAAACAATATTTCATACCAAATAACTAATGAAAGAATAAACTCAAGATCGCCAAGTTCATTTCGTGTTAAAGATTCAGCTTCACTACTATTTTTGAATCGCCATCAAGATCAGCTACTTGAAGTAAGACTTCTCCCACTTCTGGCATTTGAAACCTAATTGCTTTTACACTTTCAACACGACTCTCCCAATGAGTAGATGATAACAGTTTCAAAGTCAAATTAACATTATTTTTTAAAAAAAGCCATCTTTTATTGGAATTTGAAAATATCGTATAAACACGTTGAATAATTCCAAAAAAATCTCTAGCTTTACGACAAGAATTGGCCATATCACATAGGTAGTGAGCTCAAAGATAATCATGCAAACTAGGGTTCATTCACATCATGCATCGACAATTCATCTATTGAAATGCCATATCCCTTCCTCTGAGGCCACTCTCTACCCATGCAGAGCCTCTTGAAATAGAGATTTAACTAGCTAATGCGTGCTTTTGCTTCATGCCATTACCTAAATAATGAAGAACATGGAAGTTAAGATAGCATATAGTTAATTGTGGGCTTCTACGAACCATAACTATAGTCTATATATATATATATAGCATTGATGCTAATGAAGCATTGGTAGTACTTGAAGCATAAATGGGTGATCAATCCATCTCTACTAATGTAGCATCAATGATATAAATGTTCTTGAAGGTAATTTCTTGACAATCTAGGCAACACTAAGCATCATGCATATAGTAGAATACAATGTATTAAGAGCAATCATACAATGGAAATATCAATGACCATCAATAAGCATCGAATATAAGAAAGCATTCATACATCATCATAGGCATCAAAATCTTCACAGGCAAACACAAGCATGAGATGAAATCATAGCATTCATTTATATAACAATATTCAAAATCAAATCCTAATACAATAAATTTCGACAAGCTACATAGAGTAGAAGGAAGGTACCACCATTGATGATGACATCTCCTTAGTTCAAGACCCCTCTACTTCGAGTATGCTAAGCACTCATGTAAAGTGTTATAGAGAATTGTGTGATTGTGCAGCCTTGCTCTTACAATGGAATCATGCCCTCTATTTATAGGGGAAAATCTGACCTAAAATAACCTAAACCGACTAGGCAAGAGTCTCCTAAATCTAGTAGACTTAGGAAACTTTGTCAACAAGGAAAAAGGGAAGGTGGTGGTTGGACCTGCAATTCTGATTCTTCGTGGTTTAGACTTCTTGATCCATGGACTTCTGTTCCAGATGATTTGGGTTGCAACTTGGAGAAGCGACAATTGGACCGTTTTTTTGGGCAACTGCTATTTTCTTCTTCAGAATAGGCTGATTCTTCCACCTATATATGGGCTCATCTTGACATCTTATGGCAACTTGTAGTTGACTTATCTTTCATCGGACCACTTCTTTCCCGTGAAAACTCGTTAATCTTCTCTTTATAACTCATTTGGTCCTCCAGAGTTCTTCAATGCTTGACCCGATCTTCCTTAGGTTGCTTTGTATCTTCAAAACCATTAAAACTATACCAACGAGGCATCAAGTAGTACAAGAATCAGCCTTATAAGTAGCTGGAGCTTCAAACAATAACATTTGTAAATGCCTTATAAGTAGCTGGAGCTTCTAATGGTATCTCATTTGGCTACAGACACGGATGCCTCAGTAAACTAGATTCTATGCCTCTTGAGATAAACCTAGCCACCTATCTTGCTCTGTGCATGTCAACATACCGTCTTCCTTCAATTTTATCCTCAAAATTCAATTTAAACAAGGAGTAACACCTCTAGGCATTGTTTTTAGAGTCCATGTGTCATTCTTTTTCATGCTTCAATATCTTTCTTCGTTCAGCACTTTGCCATTTTTCTTTTGTATGGTATGTTATATGTATAAGTAATTTAGTTAATAAAAGAAGATAATTATATCATTCTATCATAATTAGTAAATATTTGTAAAATTCATTTGGAAATTCCATCTCAATTCCTCGGAATTGCTATAACTAGTTTCAATTCCATAGAATTCAAAATTTAGAATTGAATTAAATACCAAACACAAAAAAAATTCATTTCAAATGAATTCTTCAAAATTTAAGGAATTCATTTATACCAAACGGTATGTAAAAGGTTGAAATTAGACTAATCACTATCTTTTTTTAGCTCGATTGTAAAGCATTTAAGATTTGGACTCAGGTGATAATCCAAGAAAGTGGCACACTGACCACGCTTTTATTATCCAAATTCCTTCTTGGTTGATCATGAATATTATTGTAACTCACACAACCAAATATTCTAAAATGATCTACACATGGATGGAGGAGGACATGTCTAGAGTTTTTATGGTGTTTTGCCTTCATCGGTTGCATAGTCGCTTAGTTCTAGCCTTTTGACTAATAGTCCTCAACAATTATTCAGCTTTTTCAATTCTGTCTCGCTTCACTTTTAATATTCTGTGGATCTTTTGGTTACAGTTTGCAATTAGACCTCTACAACACGATAAAAGTTGGAACAAGGAGAAAAATACAACTTCATTCTTTCGGCAAACCAAACCATTCGTACATAACTCTAGCCAATAAACTCAATAAATACTAAGTAACAAATACAATCCACATGATCCTAGAAGTAGAAAATATGATAAACTAACCTGACTTCTAAGCAAATATGTAACGCTAACCCAAGTGGGCTAAACATACACACGTGGAGTAGGTGCCCTCCTTTGGGCGACTAGTGAAGTCACATCATGCTGGGGCATGCATTCCTGTACCTGGACTCCGGCCATTATGTGCGATTACCTTGATGTTTTTATTGGATATAACCACACATGTACCAAGCATCTCTAAATGAATTCTAGAGGCAGGCCAGATCTAAGCCTTAACTTGAGGAAATATCTTGTAAACCAAGCAAAGCCATTGGGTAATGTTGCCAAAAGCTTTTAGTGAATTTGATATGATTTTCTTGAAGTACTTGATATCTTTACGAGGAAGTGATATGAGTTACGGACTCTCTCAATCACTCAAGTTATTGAGATCAGTTGTTTATGACATTATATTAACAGTTTGTTAAACATATAGTATGATGGGTCATTACAAATTTAAGTCCATGATGAGCCGACTTTATTTTGAGAGGGTATACAAAGAAGTGATATAAAATTCATGTATAAATAACTCCCAACAACTCGAATTATTAAAATCAGTTGATTCAATCCAAAGTAGCTCTACTATGCTCTATTATATCAAAGTAGTTCTTTGCTTATATTACCGATGTGGTACTAGGATTGTCTCATAACAATCATCCCCTCAAAACAAGGACCACGAACTTCGTGTCCTCACCTCAGTGATTATCTTGATTAGCAAGACACCTTGTATCGATGGGCTTCTCGATACAAGGATTTTCCCAAACGCAGAAGTCTCTTTGATCCGCCAAACAGACGCAGATCTCAAATCCCGAGGTCACCAAATGAGGGTCCCACCAAATTGACGTCCACTGCCCCAAACCGAACAAGACTCTGATACCACTTGTCGAAATTGGGCAGCTCTATTAGTACGATATTGTCCGCTTTGGGCTAAGCCCACACGGTTTTACTCTTGGGTATCTTTCCCAAAGGCTTCGTACTAATTGGGCTAGGTGGACACTAATATACAAGGGTTTCTTCCCGTATATTACCAATGTGGTACTTGAATTGTGACATAACAATTCTCCCCTCAAGACAAAGACCACAAATTTCGTGTCCTCTCCTCAACGATTATCTTGATCCACCAAACTCCTTGTATCGATGAGCTTCTCGGTACAAGGATTTTCCCAAACGCAAAACTCTCTTTGATCTTCCAAACAAACGTGGATCTCTCTTGGATCCACCAAATAGAGTAATAGACGCAGATATCAAATCCCGAGGTCACAGAATGAGGGTCCCATGAAACTGAAGTCCACCGCCCCGAACCAAAACCAGACTCTTATACCACTTGTCGAAATCAGGCCGCTCCATTAGTATGATATTGTCCACTTTGGGCCAATCCCGCACGGTTTTACTCTTGGGTGTCTTCCCCAAAATGCCTCGTACTAATTGGGCTATGTGGACACTAATATACAATGGTTCCTTCCCTTGTTTACCGATGTGGTACTTGAATTGTGACATAACAATCCTCCCCTCAAGATAAGGACCACGAATTTGTGTCATCCCCTCGGCGATTATCTTGATCCGTCAGACACCTTGTATCGATGAGCTTCTCGGTACAAGGATTTTTCCAGACCCAGAACTCTCTTTGATATGCCAAACAAACGTGGATCTCTCCTGGATCCACCAAACAGACGCGGATCTCAATACCCGAGGTCACTGAATGAGGGTCCCACCAAACTGACGTCCACCGCTCCGAACCAAAACCAACTCTTATACCAATTGTCAAAATCGGGCCGCTCCATTAGTATGATATTGTCCACTTTGGGCCAAGTCCGTATGGTTTTACTCTTGGGTGTCTTCCCCAAAAAACCTCGTACTAATAATTAATTTGTTAAACACTTATATATAAGGGTTTATTCTCTTGTATTACCGATATGGTGTTTGGATTGTCACATAACACGAGTTTAAAAAAATTCCATGTTTTCAATTAACTTTTTTTTTTAAGTGCCGATGAAAATATTTTAGCGTGGGCCGATCGAATCTAGGCATTGCTTTGCCATATTGGATCCATTTTGTGGGCAGGAGACTCACGCGGCCGTAAACTGGTGGACTTCTTCACCGTTATTTCCTTTCTCTTCTTTTGTGTTTGTGTCAGCGTTATTCCCTTTCGCTTCTTTGTTTTAGTGCCATAATAAAAATAAATCAAAACAAGTAGTCTCAGACAACTTTAAGGGTTTGACTTCTATAGTTCTGTCCATCTGTTCCACATGGCTATAGCCGATTCCTCCGACATGGTCCTCCATATTGCGGAGGGAATTGAGCATCAGACTTGAGTTTTGAGTTTTGACCCCAATGAAAAATCACTGAAACATGGAACTAAAACCACAATATTGGAGTGCTTGCTATGCGATCGAAGAAGTAAGAACATGCATGGAAAAATCTAATTTTTGTATCATTATATCAACATGGCACTTAATTTATATCTCTAACATCCTAAAGGTAGATTGAGCTACATTGAACAAGGCTGCATTAGGAAACTTTATCGTACCGTCCTGTCGGATCAAAATACCGGATACCGAACTCAAAATGGTAGACAGTTATAGCGATAGGAAATGGTTCAATCATTATTAAACCACGATTTTTGTATAAAATACCCTACCACTCACTATTCCGGTATAACCTTCTATACGGTTTCTTTAACCTTGTCATTATAGATATTGTAAGTTTAGAACTATAATTTAAGGTTTTTTCTTTATGAAGAGGAACTGATATAAACTCCAGCCAGCACAATCGTTTACTCAACTATCTATGATGTTAGGAGTCCATACACCTATTTGCAAGGGGAAAGTCACGATTCAACGCAGAGAGTGTCAATTTTTATAAAAAATACGACAAATAAATGACATTAATTCACACACATATTGTTTGAAATAATCAAAAATAAATTTATTGTTTGCAAATTGAATGTTGCCCCATAACTCGTTTGTATACTTTATTCTGCACAAATTTCATATTCCAAATTCATATTTACTACCTTACTGATAATGGATATCTCACCATAATGCCACTCATCTATAGTTCTTGGAGGCCATGCCCCAAGCTACAAATCGTCTTGGCCCGGTCAATACCTCTTATAAGTGATATTCTCTACAATGTTTCGGACTTTATTACGGTTATTTGAAAGTCACCATGACTTGGAAAAAATGGTTGACTTGTAAGCATATGTGGTAAAATGTATACACTATTGTATGTTTTGCTACGATCAACAAGTTGTCGACCTAATGGCTCATAGGTCGACCTAATGGCTCAAGTGGTCGGCTGCTTCTAAAAATTGCTTCATCTCACATCAACTATTTGTATATGTTCCTTCGTCTTTGTAATTGCTTAACTTCCTTTTGCATATTGTTATAAGATTACGAGTCTCGTTTTACATGCACTATAGGGAAAAGGTCTTTTAATCATGGTAAATCATGGACTTAAAAGCATTTTTCCTTGATTATTGATTTTAGTCACGGGACATTTACAGTGATATAAAGTTTCGTGACTAATTGTATACCATGACTAATTGTATACCATGACTAATTAGAACTAGTCACGGTGTAGTTTCCTATGCTTATTTGTACCTATTAATCACAAGAAACATTGTGCCTAATGTCAACTTTGGAGCACATATCTAAGAAAAAAATACATTTAAAAACAGTATGAACTTCTTTTAAGATGGTATTTACCGTGACTAAATGTCTATCACTTTCACGGTAATTTACTATGGCTAATTACAAACCGACGATCACAGTATTTTCCTATGACGAATTACAATACCTAATACAAGATTAATTATTTATGATCTCATTACCAATTACAAAATATTATTAACAGTCTAAAGAGTATAAAATCTTGTAGTCAATAATTATTCTATAATATTGTTACAATATGCATCACAGTAATAGCTAGATCTCTACTGCTCAAAAAACTATCTCATTATTCCTTCTATGATATGATGGTCGACATCAAGTAGTCTATATAGAATCAACGTTTTGAAATTTCATCCTTCTTCTAGTAAACAAAATCTTCATGCCACGAACTCTATCCCAAACAACCATCACTGATGCATGTAAACAAAATCTTCATGCCACGAACTCTATCCCAAGCAACCATAACTGATGCATGAAACATGCATGGAAACCTAGAAATTGTCAAGGTAAAAACATGTGATTTCATGTCTTCTAATATCGGCAATTCGGAGGAGTTGCACATATACTATAGCTAACTTGCAATCATGGGGGACAACAAATGTCACTTGGCAATAGTACATATTCAAAAATAGCAACTAGTGTAATAGTTTGAGTGAAGGAAGAGCTAGCAATACCTGTTGGGCTGTTAACAATCCTAAAAACGGCAACCAGATTCATTGATTTTTCAAAAACCTCAGCTAAAATCACTTGTTTTGGTTCCTCTACTGCAACATCTTCTTTAGCATCATCTCAGTCCTATTCATCCAACAGGACATAGGAAAACATTGGAAAAACTTGCATTAAGGGAACATTAAAAAAGCGAGGGAGCCAATTAGTCATGGATCAAACAAATGGTCAAAGAATATCAACATTCCAACATCTTTTCATGAACAAATTTTACAGTCAATCAACTATCTTCTGAAATAATACAAACTAGTAGTCTTTTCACCTCCTAGAACCACGCACCTAAACATCCTTGAATATTTATTATCTTGCAGTCAAATTATGGTGAAAATGCAGAAAGGAAATTAACAAGGAAAACAGGTAAATTGTTCAGTTTTCAAAAGCGAGAAGAGCCACTCGGGTATGTGTCCTCCTAGCTTCTCAATTAGGTCCAAGTTGTAATTTCCTTTGATCATTTTACTATTAATTAAAATGCGGAAGATTCGATAATAGGTTGGAATCTCTTAAGTTGACCAAGTCTTCTCAAACACAATACTCGGTAGACAAGTAACCTTCACCGGAATGAATGTTAAGGCAATTCACAAAGATCTCCACTATTTAGAATGAATTCCAGTACAAAGTAGTGGAATGATTGACTCTCGCACAATCAATTTAATACTATTAATCAATGAAGCTCTCTTAACCTAATCAATTTACTACTAGCAAGATTCGTAACACATGGAACTAAGGTTCTTCATACCCAAGTGAGAAGGAGGTTTAGTCCATAGAGAGAGGAATACCAAATACAACACATCCATACTCATAGAGATATGTACTATCGGCTCCAGTTAACTTATAGGTCTTGTTATTCATCATTTTCTATCTATAGAACTCTTTTTTTCTTCTTCTCAAAAGCCGAATCTCCTTCTTTGGCTCAAATCTGCCAATTTACTCCGTTTAAATGGTTGGGCGTAGGGATGGCAATGGGGCGGGTTTGTCTAAACCATCTCCATCCCCATTACCAAATACCCAAACCCATACCCGCCACATACCCACGCGGAGTGAGGTTTTGCAACCCATCCCTATACCCATGAGTTTTGGATACCCATGGGTAATACCCGCCCCGTATAAGCAAGATTAGTATATCAAAAGTTGCATATGTATGTCTTCAATTATAACACAAATCATACATAATAAATAGCGGAAATCAATGTAGTTATAATATTTCTTAATAGGAAAAAGCATTCAATCCTAAATATTGATTAATCAATAAAATAAATTAAAATGAAAATATTAAATTATATCAAATCATTCATCTTCTAATCTAAAACATATATATAGTAAATAGTTAACATAAGCTTGTCAACTAAACAAAACCTCTTTTACTTCTAAAAGATTAAAGTCTACTAGACTACCAATTATTCAAACACACTAAGTTACACCAATATGCATCGAAATAATTCAAATATAAAAAATGATACGCAATGACCTATTACTATCTCATCAAAAAATTTGGTAAGGTGGTCGTCTCCAAGATGATCCAGGAGTAAGGAGAGGAAAGGCGGCGACAATGAGGAATTGAGAAAGTAAACTGTAACCGGCTGAGAGGGTCAAAAATTTCAATGGTTTTGATAAATATAATTACATTTTAATCATGTTCTCTTATTCAATTACCTTCATGCTTATAATAATTTATAAAAATATATTTATAGCTTATTACGTATAGCAAAATACCTTGATGAGGCGGGTTTGGGTATGAAGCGAGGGACGCTATAACCATACCAGCCTCATACCCATCTCGTTCTTTGCGAATTTTATCCATACCCGTCCATACCCGATCAAAGCGGGAATTTCCTTTATTAACTGAATCAAAGGTAGACGAATACCACGAACATGAGTTTGATTATCATCATAATTTCGGACGAGCCAAGTTGGGCCCTGTCCCACCTCCACTGCACAGTCCACACACATCCCACAATCATTCATTCTCCCCCTAAACCCCACCCACTGTCATACGTCATTCGTGCCATCACTCCCTCTCCCTTTCTCTTTCCATCTCTTCCCCTCTTTCCCCGACAAAGCCGCGAGGGCTGCCTAACCACCATCCACCGTCCACGTGTCGCACCACCCACCGTCCAAAATTTCCCTCCCTCCCACCTCGATCATATATCATCCCTTCTCATCCCTTTCCCTTTCCCCCCTCCCCCTTCTCCCCATTTCCAATACCAGAAACAACAAAACCATTTTTACTACTGAAATCCTCAATCAACGAGGCTGCGGAGGAAGAAGACTTTGTTCGTCGTTATGGCGACTGCGGAGGCTGACATGTACGTGACGATCAATTTCGAGGAGACGGAGCTAAGGCTGGGCCTCCCCGGCGGGCCCAAACCTGCTGGGACAGTGGGTAGAACCACCGGTGCTGCTGGGAAGAGAGGCTTCTCGGAGACCGTCGATTTGAAGCTCAATTTGTCACCGTCCACCACCAAGATGGACGGCTGCGATCCTCATGCTGCCATCAAGACAGGCAACAACGATGACAAGATGATGATGATGAACAAGGACGAATTATCCGCTGCTGCTTGCTCTAACAACGATCCGGCAAAACCGCCTGCCAAGTATGTTTTATTATTTCTTTTCCCATATAAATTTCGCTTTATCCTTGAAATGATTATTATTATTCTTCTTCTTTTCCGGCTTCTACGCTCAAGCACGTTAGTAATCCAAACTAGTCCGTATTTCTTTCTGCATATGTAATATAATTAAGAGGGCGTGGTTAATTAGTAGTGAACGTATGCATATAGTCGATGCATGTGATTAGGACTTGGGATATGACCCATGACCGTGACCATGAATGATATTCATATAAAATGGTTTGATTTGGTTTGGTTTGGTTTGGTTGGCACAGATGAGTGATTAGGATAATCTGCCTGTCCAGTTGCCGAGATCCATTGATTCTCCAGACTGTGGGAGAATTAATTGTACTGTTTAATTTCTTGGTTTGGGGCCTACTTTGGGGTTGATGGTTTTGGTTGGGTGTCGGGAGCATAAGGGAAAAGAACAAAACATATGGAATCTTTTACTTTCGATTTTCGCGGCTCCCAAACAAACATCATCTAATCTATTCTAATCTCACCTCTTCTCTTCACTTCTTCGTGCGGCTGCCGGTGCTGGGGCCAAAATTTTTTTAAAAAATAATAAATATCGGGTACCGAAAGCGATGGTTTCACCCACCTGACATGGCCGGTATGTTAGAAAGTAGTATAAGATACATCGTACTTTTATCTCAACAATTCAAGTTATTGGGATCAACTGATTTATGATTCGTTACATACTTAGGAAAGTAAGAAAGATACCTCTTTAGCTCTTAATTAATTTACTCATCTCCTTAACAATCATTAGGTAGTTCCTTAAAATAGTATTGTCAACTATCAATTTCATACTACCCATAATACACCCAACTACTAGAGCTGCATATATTAAATTTTGTATTCTTTTTTCTTTCTTTTAGGGCTAACCTACTATAGAAAAATGTAATAATTAATCCCATAATTATTGGTGAATATTGATTTCCACCCGGGAGAAGGAAAAAAAAAATGAAGAGAAAAAACTAATAATGTATGCGTTGGGGTTGAACTTATTTATTTTTATTATTGTTGTTGTGTTGCAGGGCACAAGTGGTGGGTTGGCCGCCCATCCGGTCGTTCAGAAAGAACGTGATGGCTGTCCAGAAAAGTAATAATGACGCCCAACCTTCCAAGAAACCCGCCGCCGCCGACGCCGCCGCCACCACACCTCCGCCGGCGGCGGCGGCGTTCGTGAAGGTGAGCATGGATGGCGCTCCATACCTCAGAAAAGTCGACTTGAAACTCTACAACAGCTACAGCGACCTCTCCGAGTCCCTCGGCAAAATGTTCAGCTCCTTCACTATCGGTAATTAATTCTTATTTAGTCACCGCCTAGCTCGTCGCTATAAAATTATTAACATCGATCTGGATGATTTTTTTTTTTTTCTATTGATGGCGAGAGTTAAAAAATAATTCTTCCCACAGGCAATTGCGGACCAAATGGGATGAAGGATTTTATGAGCGAGAGCAAGCTGGTAGATCTCTTGAACGGTTCTGAATACGTGCCAAGTTACGAGGACAAAGATGGAGACTGGATGCTTGTTGGAGATGTTCCATGGGAGTAAGTCCTTTTTTTTCTTTTTTGGTGGCTTATTTGCTTCTCGTGTTTTTTTGCATGGTAAATTTATTCCTCTTGTTTCATCCATATAATAAATACAGGATGTTCGTGGAGTCATGCAAGCGGTTGCGAATAATGAAAGGGTCTGAAGCAATTGGACTTGGTAAGTAACATATATATATATGAAAACATTAGAGAGTCGTCGTCACCTTTTTTTGCAACAGCAATTTTGTTATTTCCGTGACCAACTGGTCGCAAAAGCTCTGTTTATCGTGCGCATATGCAGTTATGATTAGTTGTGGATTTTGATTTGCACGCAGCACCAAGAGCTGTGGAGAAGTGCAAGAGCAGAAGCTGAAGAGAACAGTTCTGGCGGGTGAATAATAGTTTAACCGCGCCGCTATATAGGAATTGGTCCACTTGAACGTTAATTCCAAGTTCATTATAAGGCACAATTATTATATATAACAGAGGGGGAGGATTGATCTTCAATAGTAAGCTCATCATACATACATATATAATATATATGTGCTTAATTACTGTAGAACTTCACTTTCGCCCATGTTGCACTTTGTTATATTGTCTTTTTATGTAACGTTTGTTTACTGTCACCTTTTGTTCGTTGGCTTTGCTTTTTTTTTTTTTTGAGTTTTTGGTTGTCATCATGTATGAATTACTTTTTTGTTTTTCTCCCTCCTCCAACTTGTAAATTTTTATAGATGGGTCCAAATTTTTAATAGATAGTGTACTTATTTTAGTTCATTACCATGTGGGCATAGTTATTATGGGAATCTCCTCCATATCTCTTTTTTGATTCTTTTATGGGTTTGTATCTTATCTTATTGATTAATGCTTCTTCCAACTAGTACGTACTATTGAATTGAGAGGGCAAATTGGGTGGTGGAGGGAAGGTTCACGGGGACAAAGTGATACCGTGTGGGGCATTACCACGTGGGCTGTGTTGGAGGGTATACGCACACGATTTCATATGTTATTTTCTTTGGGTTGCTCGCAAATAGATTGATCCATGGATTTGTGAATTGCATTGGTGGATCCATGGATCAAATGGATTGGATCCAATGGATTGATGGATTGGGTCAAGTGGATTGATAGATTATCCATGAATCCAAATGACATCCTCAACCAAGGACCAATATGTAAAATGTGAAAAGTTTAGGTACTAAAACATCATAATGAAAATATTTAAGGTACCAAAACATAATTTTCCAATGATATTTTTCATATAAAAATACATTTTGGGTACCAAAATGTAAAACATAAAAAGTATAGGTACCAAAATGTAATTTGCCATTTGGATCCATGGATCAATCAATGAATCCACCAATCCAATTGGATTTGAATCAAATGGATTGGATTAGATGGATATTTTTAATCGATTGGTGTATTGGATTGAGAATTGCCACCTCTAGTTGCGATCCAACTTATAACCATGGTGTTTCAGTTGGGTGGTAAGGAACCCTACAACAAAAACTTAACTTTTGCAACCAAAGAGTTTACAACCAGACTAAAATTAGTTGTGAAAAGAATAGTATATACAATCAATTATATTATGGTAGCTAGAATACTACAAATTTGGTTGTCTGATTGAAGTCAAAGTATTGATAATCAAATAAAACTGGAAGAGACCAAATAATTTGGTAGATTATTTTTAATTTTTCCAAGCAAATAATTATGGTAGCATAATGATTTTTAGTTTTTCCAACCAAATAATTTGGTAGTATATTGATTTTTGCTTTCTCCAACCAAATATTATTGGTTATGAATTTAAGCAAGAAATTTAAAAATCTTAGATAACTAAATAATTTGGTTCCAAATTAAACCAAAGTTTCGTGTTCGATTTTAAATTAGAGACGTTAAAAATAATGAAATAATAAAATTCAGCAACTAAATTATTTGGTTGCCATAGTGTTCTATAAAACTTTGTGTACTATATCTGACTATTTTAAAAAATTAGTGGTTGTAGTAGTAATTAAGAAAACAATCCAATGATGTCGATCATTAAGGAGGGTATGGTGGCTTAGACCATCCACATCCATGAAATATCAAATCTAGTTTATATGTGACTCCTACTGTCACATTAACAACTTTTTCCTTTTCACTACATACCACTTTCGTTTCCTCTAGATCAATGAAATCCACCATCTATTTCATTTTGTAGGCCTAACTTATTTTTTTTTACTAAAAATATACATTTTATCTACATACGTCATTTTACCAATTTAAGATACATCATTAATACATTTTATCTACCTACATATGTTGTAGCTTTAATCATCAATTAAAAATAAATTATGTAATTTAAAATGTGTAAAGTTTAATAAAACTACATGAAACTAATTCACAAGTAATTATGCTTTCGGAATGCAATTGTGACATGTTTATATCCATATATGTATATGGGTGGCTTCTATGGTACCCCGGGTGAAATCCAGGGTACCGCATACCTCGAGTATGGAAACTCTATCTAGACCTTGAATTACCAGGATTTTTGTGTCTAAAATTATACCCTAACCCTTAATGAGTGAACCGTAGGTCATAATTATCTAAATCATAATCTATAAACCCTAAGATGGTGCATTCCTTTCTGTGCCTATATTTGGATGAATCATAACCGTCGATTATTGTTTCTAATTAAAAATTGATCTTGGAGTATAAGATTGGGAGAGTTAACACCTAGATTTTGATCTTTAAGTGTTAGAGTATAGTATCATATCCGAAAGATCGGTCAATTCAAGGTCTAGATAGTGTTTTCATACTCAAGGTATGCGGTACCTCGGATTTTACCCAGGGTACTGTAGAACTCGCCATGTATATGTTACTTTGTTTTCCCATTAAGCTTCCAGAATTTAGATAATCAATCTATCAAAAGTTAATAAATGGGTTATAGGTATAATATGCCCCTCTATTATGACGTTTTATTAAATATGCCCTTATACTATTTTTTACATCAAACATGCCCCTGTACCTTGTAAAAATGATCAAACATGCCATTTTGTTTAAATTTTCATCCCAATACCGTTAACCAAGGTCGAACTTTGGTTTGGGCGGCACAAATGTCTAAAATATCCCTAATAATTTCACTTTAGAATTTTTTTCTTGTTCTTTTGTATAGCCAAATAATTCAAATAATTTCACTTTGAAGAGACCCAGAGAAATAAAGCGGGAGACAAAATTGACATTTTCACTCCCATTTGCCGATGTCGGGTCGTCTAAATCTCGGTTCAACCATGATTGACGATTTTATCAATGGAAATTTTAACAAAAAGGCAAGTTTGATAATTTTTTCAAAGTACAAGGGCATGTTTGAAGTAAAAAATAGTAGAGGGGCATATTATACCTATAACCCTTAATAAATCTTACCTAATAAAATAAGTTTGTTATCTTAAATTGGGATTGTCAAATGAAAAAAGAAATTAAAATAAGTTTCTTTCCCTTTCCACCTGTAACAGCCAACCCCGATGCTTCACCACCTGTACTAGATCCAGACGTCTTATGTATGATCTCTCTCGTATGAAGAGCATATCGAACATCTTTCAACAACAAGCTATCTTTACCAGCAATAAAAGAATATATGAAGTTATCATATGAACTCGGCAAAGACACAAGCAGGCATAGGGCAGCATCTTTATCATCAACTTTCACATCTATATTGCGTAAATCTAACAAAATAGAATAAAGTTGCTCCAAATGTTCACTCAAAGGCGTACCTTCTTGCATCCTCAAGCTGAACAACCGTTGCTTGAGATGCAGCTTGTTGGTTAGAGACTTAGTTATGTATAGACTCTCCAGTTTCAACCACAAGCCCGGGACAGTCTTCTCAGTAGTGACTTCAATGATGACGTCATCAAACAACGATAGCATGATAGTCGAGTGAGCCTTCTCCTCCAGGGTATTCCACTCATAGTCATCGACCGCTGCCTTCTTCTGCTTCGCAGACACCGGCCCCCACAACCCTTGTTGTTTCAATAAAGCCTGCATTTTGATATGCCATATAGCAAAGTTGTTCTTCCCCGTGAACTTATCGATAATCATGTTTACCGACATCATTCTTCATAATCAAAACCCTTGCTTGATATTCAACCAGGCTCTGATACCACTTGTCACAACTGTTGCTCTGCGGATTGGGAAATAGGAGGATTCAACAATGCAAGAAACGAAAGCACACACATACACGATTTACGTGGGTCACTAACACAATGTGTGTTAGCTAGTCCACGGGCAGGAAAGAGCCAGTTTCACTATACTTTTCGAGGAGATACAGATTACATAGGAGTATGAGAAGTATTTATAGTACTTCTCCTAGTTCTAATCCTAATCCAATATGATAAAGGAAAAGCAGTTACAGACTAGGCCCAGTAGCCGAACCCAAATAACATTGAACTCATACACCGCGGGTCGTATCGGCTGATGGTTTGATTCAAATCACATCAACACATGTATATATGTGTTGGTATGGCAGATTACAATACATTCGTGCATGAGTCATTGGAGGAATGGAGCTTTGCCGAGAGAGATTTTGAGAGCGGCAGCTAGCTCTTGCAAGGACATGGGCTGGCCAATATAGCCATGGCTTTGAATCAAATCTGCAATCTCCAACTCGATTGCACATAGGAGGGCCATTGAGTTAATGTAGCCGCAACAGTGAAACTTGGGGATAGGCATACAGAAGCTCTATTGCTGCTTGTTAGCTAGATAGACATTCTTTGATTTTGTTGTGGTCCTAATATATATAATTAGATTGCTTTTGCTTACGACATACCTATTTATTTACTACTTATCGAGCCAGCTACAAGGGAGCAGATCAGGTCAGTAACTCTATGATCAGTAACCATGAGTAACCTGTCCACATCAGCATGACATCAGTAGCTTCTCTATCCTGAAAAATCTTTTATTTTTTCCCTTTTAATCTTTAACGGACGACTGATCTCTCGTTTTAAGCCTCAATTTTTATTTTATAAAAGTAATATTTTACTAACTCAAGTTAACCATTTGAAGTTGAACATTTTGTGATTTCTTTTCAACAACGGGTACGGGTATTCAAGAATCAAGAACATATAAAAAATATTGAACCGACTTAGTTGGCTAACAATTAAGAATATAAAATATTGAGAAGATAATGAACAAAATAATATAATTAGCCAACACAAAACCAAACTCATATGCCCAAAGGGTCGGGTAACAATAATTAGCGCAGTAATCTTACTTGGTTCTACTCTTTCATATGGTTTTACTCTTTCAATTCATACTAATTTTAAACGAAATATATTTTATTCCAACTTCGAATACATATCCTAGAATAAGAAGTGCAAAAGTTCTTTCTAAAACATGAAAAAAGCATATAAATAACAGTAAATTAGAACTACTTGATCAACACAAATACATACTAACTAATTACCGCTAATTTCATAATAAAAAATATCATAAATATTACTTTGAAATAGTAAATAATTATAATAGAATAGCCCAAATTATTAAAAACTATGGAAACATTGATCAACATAAAATAAAATAAAATAAAATTCATCCTGCCAACAAGCCGGATAAAAGCTAATTTTATGCATAACCAAAAGTTATACTTCATATACCGGATACTTTTGGATATTGAGTATTATTAACGAATTAAGGAGAGCTGACTCGGTTGTCAAATTGTGCGTTGGATTTTGGATGTTGAATGAGTTTGGACTAGTGGCTGAGTGGATAATAATGGGTTTGGGCTTCTAGAGATGGGTTGTGGAGTGGCTACTAGGCTGGTTTCATATTCTAGGTTGGGCTCGGTTATTTTGGTTTTAAATCAGACAGTGATCAGGACCAAGATTTTGACCTCGCCCACCCCATTCAGTATGTGTAATTTGTTGCGGGGCTAATGCCATGATCGTTTTAGCCTTTCTCATATTAATGGTAGCGGCGGATCTAGGGCATCCCGGACCACGGACTAGCCCTCTCCTCTTTATTCAAATATGGTATAGTATTTGTAAATTTTCGATTTTAGATATTCGTTTCAATGCTCATCTGGTTACGACTCTGTTCTTTCCGTGTCTTTTTCAAATGTGGCCCAGTGCTCTACTCTATCCTGGATCCGCCGCTGATTAATGGATACATGTTGCGATGTAATAAAAGGAGTTAAGAGTAATCTGGCAATCTGGCATGCAATAGTCAAGGTAGAAAGAAATAAAATATATCAAAATGTGATGTAATTGTGAACTGGAGCAATGAAAACAAAACAAAAATCGGAATCTCGCTACACCTGTAAATGCCAAGTCTTAGACTCATGTCCGCCGGCCGGCCGGCCGGTAGAAATTAATGGGGGATGACCGGACGCGGGGCGTAACAATCCCCGTAATATTTTTGACATTTGTAACCACAATACTTCTTACCGACCCCACAAAACCCCCACTGGCTGCAGCAATCGTACCCAGGAAGGCTGCACTTTTTGAGTTTTCCCTGGATCCCGCAGTTGGCGCTCTTGCCCGCCGGCGCCGCTATCGGCGCTTTGTACGCCAGAACCGCCGATGCCACGTCAGCATGATTGGCATCCGCGCTACTCAACTGTACTAACAGCGACATCATTATGATCAATGCCGTCGCCACAGCGCGGCAGATGATTGAATAGTGACGGTAAACCTGGTTGGTCGCCATTTCGATAATAATTATATTTATTTATTATTTACTGCTTGCTGGGCCTTGAAATGTATGCTGTGTTTGAGTGTTCTTTGGGATTGTGATTTGTGTTGTGAGAGAGACCGTTTTGAGAATTTATAGGAGTGGAAAGAGGCCGCTGAGAGTGCTCTTAATCAATATCTTATCTCGATGCTGTGAATTGGCATTTGCTTCTGTCTCCTCATTTCAAGAAAGACTTGTTATGAATTAATGCTCCGATTTGGATTTTTCAGCTTAGATGTTTACGGGGTTGTTGATTAGATAGTTTCAATGAGAATTTTGTAATATTCCTCTCCAATTTAATCTCCATGAGGAGGAGGACAGGTGTTATCGTTTAAAAACAAAATTGGTATAAATTCAGTTTGTATCTATACTTTTTCGCTTAAATTTCTTTAAGCTACAAACTAAATTTGTACATTTAATTTGGTAAAATACACTTTCATAGCCACAACTCTCATGTTCGTGCCAATTATAGCCAAATAAATCGAAATACAGTAAAAGTTTAGGAATTTGCATGGTAGTATGACAAATCTAGCCTACTACGTTAGAAACTTTGACGGTGTTAGTGACGGCGTCAATTTTTCTAACGATTTGCTGAGTAGGATCCAAATCATCTACCACATCAATGCGATATCAGCAAAATTGTACACGTTGGTGACAGTGTTGCTGAAGTTGTAAAGAAGGCTAGACAAGGCATGAATGCTTTATGTAATAGTGCCGAGGTTGTAATCTTCTTGCAATTGAAGTTCGTGTGTCTCTATTTCTTGCCTCCTAGCTAGGCTTATGTTAATACAGTAGCCGTAGTTTGTTTTTCCTAATGGCAAGGGGTGTTGCCATTTTTTTTTATGAAATAGAAGCTCTAACCATTCATTAAAAAGGGAAATAAAAGAAAAAGAAAGTCGAGCTGCATGTTGTAAACAAGAAAGTTCAAAGACTTATTCACCATGCATGTAAAATACATGTTTTCATAACCTCATTTCATGGAATTTTTCACATGAGTACTGCATAATTTTTACCATATTGACTTGAATTTTCTTGGTAATGACTCAAAGTAACGATTAGTGGTCTATGGGGATAGTTTTTATGCCATTTAAGTAGTGCTTCGTGCAATTTCATGTCATACCACACTAGTGGACCACTTTGCATGACTTGGGAATTGGGATAGCTCCCAAATAGGTGGCCAAAATGTCGACCAAAGCTCGAGATATGGCCCAAGCGCCATTTTGAGGATCAGTGCAATTTTCACATCTCCACGACATAGAAGTAGAACTGCAATCAAAAATCAGTTGCATTGATCTTCTTCGGAATGCCATTTTCAACTCCTTATATTTTGTCTCTTCTGGCCTGATTGCATTTGCATCATTTTATTTTTCATTTGCATCATTGACAAGATTCAGAGGTTGCAAACCACTATATCTTGCAGGCACTTAATGGCGATAACAAATTAAAGCAAACACTGAAAAATCAATTTATTCCGTGCGTGCAGTGCCCAACTGGGCAACTGCATAAACCTAGCACGAGTTGCAAATTGTAGGTCTGAGAAACATTAAGGGGGAAAAAAGCACAAACACACACAAACTTTTATATCATAATATAACAATCTTACACAACTTCTTCTCTTTTGATTTTTAATCTTCCACGTTAATTATCATTCATATTATTGCGCATGCATCAGCTAGCACCCACGGCAGTTTTTTCCGCCACCGTCCTTGCCGGACTCGGGTTCGTCGTAACCCTCTGAATTTGTGCGAGTTGGTGCTTCAGCGACGGTTAAGGAGTCTTCGCTGAGACGGCAGATAGCTCCAATGCATTGCTGAGCATAAACGACGGCCGATGGATGCCCAGCAATTGCAACGAGTACTATGCCGAGAAGAAGCATAATATTGATGACCAACTTCTTCATAGCTGTGTTTTGATCTTGTGTGATAATTATTTCTCGACTACTTTTGTGTGTGTTGTGGTAACGAGGGGGCTGTGGGGTTTATATACCCACGGCCAGACTGGATATGACGACGGTGTCGATTTTGATGAGTTGGTATTTCGGCACTTTGCGTTTTGGCTCCATGAATTTCCGGATATTCAGTGGCAATAAATAGTCACTTAACTATGACATTTACGCAAAAGAGGCACTTGACTTGCCATTTGTCCGGAATTAAGTTATTGGGTTGGTAAATTGTTATGGTATAACAAGGTTGTCAACCCGCGGGTTGACTCGGACCCGGTTGAACTAGTGGGTTAATGGGTCACCCGTTTTAACCCAGTTTAACCCGGGAATATGGAAAGCGTCACTATATTGTACTTATCCTGATAATTTATATCAAATCTCATCTAACATATGAGTTATAACATATAATATTAAACCAAAATAACATGTCGTACTTAGATTCAACATATAGTGAAAATTCACACACACTTATATAACATTAATATTCAAATGTTCAACTTAGGATTCCAAAAATTAAGTTAGGCGAAAAGAAAAATCGGAAAATAGGCGCATTTCGCAAAACAAAGAAAAAAATGACACAATTTGACCTCCAACCTAGTACCTTGTAGCGGCCAACTCGGTGGGTGCGTGCGACCCGTTTTTCTCACTGGGTCAGGGTCAAAATGGGTTAACCCGCGAGTCGACCCATGGGTTGACAACCTATAAGCCTATAAGGATTATATTAAGGATGTGTAACTTCAAATTTTGAATATAGGGATGTGTTCGAAATCTTTTCATAATAAAGGGGAACATAAAGTTGCACTAACCAATTCAGAAAAATTAAAGAAGATTATTAGTGTTAAAAAAAACCCCATTAACTTAGATTATAAAAAAACATATCCTTTCCAAAAATCAGCATAAACGAAACGTGCTAGGAAGGCCACCAACTCTCTACTAGAGGAAATTTTACAAATCCTTTCCGGGAGAACTACACTACCTGCAGGCTAATAGCTACTGCTCGTTTAAGAGCCAGTCGTAACAGTAACACGACTGCTAAATTGCTCGAAACTCGGTTCTCAGCAAATGCCGTCGTGTATTAACTACACAAATGGCTTTTGTTAAAAGTGAAATCGGCTGGGATCAGAATTCCTTGAGGGATTTGACTTTGTGAGTGAAAAACGAAGGAAAAAAATAAGAAGAATACAATGACATTATTTGTGAATCAATTCTTTCTTTTGTTTCTTTTTTATGGGCTCAATTATGCTAAGTCCACTGAAGACATAAGCTTGCATAAGTGGCCCAACGAGAGCATGCTGAAGAGGGTTTAAACTTTTTTTTTTTTTTACGGGTTAGAGGGTTTAAACTTTAAAGAGTACTAGTAAGGAAAGTCTGCGCTTCGCGACGGCCGATTATTTGTGATATGTGTCGCATTATATAACAGTAGGCCATAAAAGAAAAGGAATATGTAAATTAATGAAACAAACAACCTTTGTTGCATAATAATGTTCGACCTATCTTTTTCATTGTTACTTCAACTATAGTTTATGCTAAAGCTTATAATTTTGGAGCTTCATTTATCAATAATATAAACTGAATGGGAAAACTTCTAATACATGCCATGAGACATCATAAAGTTGAAACCTTTTGTCATGTACAAATCTCAGTACAGTTCTATATGCATAGATACCCTTATTATTATTATTATTATTATTATTATTATTATTATTATTATTATTATTATTATTATCATCATCAACACAAATATATAGAGAGGAGTACATATGAGATTTGTGCCACATCAACCACCGCAAGGCAGTCCTTAATTGGCGGAGGGGCATTTGTGCCAAAGCAGTAATTTCTTGGACCTGTTAAATTGAGGCCCGCTAAAAAAATAAACGGGAGCTATGAACGGGCAGGTTAATTAGGCTTGCTAAAACATATTTATAGTAAATTAAAAGTATACCTATATATGCTAATTTCACAAACCGAGACCAGCAATATGAATTACATGAAAGCATAAAAATATATAGATTACATGAAAAACAAAGAGGCTTTCAATCATAATTAGTAGAATACGGTATGAGTAGTTAAATATAAAATGTATACTTGTATTTTACTTTATTACGCATAGATGAAAATATACTTATTACATATTGGTCGGAATACTTGAAGTATATATCATGGGCTCACAGGCCCAACGCCACTGAATTTGGCTTTAAAATATAATGGCTATGAATTACATAAAAACCAAAAATTATCTTAATCATAGTTAGTAAAATACGATATGGATAATTACATATAAAATCCATACGTGTATTTTGCTTTACTACGCAAGTTAATCGTACATATAAAACCGGCCACGTCAGCCACATTGACTGAGAGATAAAGGGTGGGGGAGAGACGGAGACATAGAGAGAGATACATGAACGGGGAGGGACAATGAGAGGATATGAAGTGATTGGGTGAGTTTTTAAGTTTGTTAGATATTGAATTTAATAAAATTAATAATTGATTATTGAGATTGGTCGGAGCTCATCAAAGTGCATCCAACATTCAGATTACCTGGAGCATGCTATACTTCTGGAGTATACCAGTTATTATTAGAATTTTAATTTTGTACCTTATAGATATATCTTTTTAGAATATGTCTAATGCACGTCAAATAGGTTGGATCTCAATTCGACAATCGCATCTTAAATCGCTTATTTATTTTGCTTGACAATTTAAATCAATATGACAACCTTGCTTACATTGCACCTATCAGCATTGTGACAAAACTAATATGGGCAAACTGGGAAATCAATGAGATGGAACGATTGCATTCCAGTAGGTGAACCATATACACCCCTAACACCACTTAAAATACAATTTGTATAATAAAATGAATTCACGAATTTTTTATAAAAAAATAAAACATGTCAAAATAAAGGACACAAAAGCGGGATATAGCTCATAGATGGAATAACAACAACTTGATCATTGACCAATTTGACCCGACATTTCCGAAAAAAACAAAAATGGGGGAAAGGGCACTAAAACGGGATATAGCCTATAAATCGAATAACTACAATCCGGCCAACTGGCCGGGCAAAATGCTAGCAGTTATATAGGGAATAATACATGCCTGCAAATGTCAAATAATCCATGTGCAATGATCAATATTCAAAAAGGCGCTAGGCGTACGGCGTGCGTTGAGACTTCGTCTAGCGCCTAGCTCGCCTAGGCATAGATTAAGCATGCCTAGGCGTTGGAAGAAAAAAGCTATTCGCACTACATGATGAATGAAATAATAATCTACAACACTTTCTCACCTCAGTTAAAATGATTAATAACTTACTCAACGCTTAATGACAAGAACATAGCTCACGAATTCATAGAATCATAGCTCAATTACTCACAAAGTTCTTGAGCTATTGAAAATATTGATATAGAAATTAAATTCGTAGTTGACATTAATTTTCTCCTTTAATATTGACTTCCTAGCTCCATCTGGTAATGTTTAGGAGATACTTATATGTCGCCTTACTTCATTGATGTGTTCCATTATCTAATTAGGCGCGAAATCGCTAGGCGAGGCGTTTTGCCATTGCCTTGCGCCTAAGCGTGCCTTTTTGAACCATAACAATGATATCGTAAAACTTTTTCATTGCATCCCATAAAGCTGGTTTGGCATAAGTGTGCTATCCCTGGACGCTCGTGTCCTCTTCCTAGCTTGTTCCCAAGCTGTAAAATGCAGCATTTCGAAGAGAGAACCAATCAATAAAACCACAAAACATTAAGGAAACATAAACAGGTGAATTGAGATCCTAGGAAAAGGCACCAACTATAAGGACTACACTAGTTTTTTACCCGGCCCGTTGGCCGGAGAGATTTATTTTATAATTTATATTAATTAACTTATTTATATGTTTAAATCATTTTGGATTTTCCAAATATTTTGTGTTCTTGATTCATAACAGAGTTTGTAGTATGTCTATATTGAAAATTTCCAATATTTAGCACACTCACTTGTGATGCTTCGGTTTTCTAATCATAAATGATGTCACCATCACGTCCCATTTAGAACTTATGTCAAAATTTATCAACCAAAACACTAATGTTTAGCGTACGTCAACCTGAACTCCCCCCCCCCCCCCCCCACACCACACATATAGTTCAAGCTAGCGTGCGCGAGTAGTATGCTATACTCTTGCGTTCACACTACCATACGACCATTGATTTATACTATTTAGACCACGAATTAACCAGAGTTTTTTGTGGCATGATACTATACCCTAACCTCTAATAGGTGAACTCCAGTCCCTAATTCTCTAACCTCTAATTTATGGGCATACTTCGTCATATCTATCTTCTATCGTATCTTGAGTAAAATCAAAAGTATAGTATACCTTGATATTGGGCGGCTTCTACGCTACCCCAGGTGAGTTCTAGGGTACCACATACCTTGAGTATGAAAAAGCTATCTAGACATCGAATTAGCAGGATTTTTGGGTCGGATAATATACCCTAACCCCTAATGAGTGAATCCTAGGTCCTAATTATCTAAATCATAAACTATAAACCCTAAGATGTTGCATTCATTTTTTGCCTATATTTGGACGAATTATAATCGTCGATCATTGTTCTAATTAAATTGATCTTGGTATATAAGATTTAGAAAATTAAAACCTAGATTTTGATGTCTAAGGGCTGGAATATAGTATCATATCCGAAAGATTAGTCAATTCAAGGTTTGGATAACATTTTCATACTCAAGGTATGCGTTACGCTGAATTTCACCCTAGGTATCGTAGAACTCACTCCTTGATAGTATATATATGTATGTGTGTGTGTATAGTAAACTCAAAAGTATCCACATACTTCATCAGACCTATCCTATCTCGCATAATACTCATATTAAAAGTGCTACTTGCCTATCCCCCATTCCCGGGATAGAGATCCCGCTTTTACCCCCATAACGTCAGACAACCATTAGGATTGTCTATTATTCTATACGTAATATATAAAGAGGCAAATCCTAAGATCCTGCTATTTATTATTATTATTCTCTCCCACAACCCCCTTTATGGAGAATAAAATGGTAGGGATGACAGGATCATAGCTTAATATGGTTTTATTTTGTTCATCGTATCAGAGGTTATTTCCTTTTTTGCTTTTTTGGGCTTCTTTTCATTCTTCTTTGGAACCTATGGTTGTGATCAGAGGTATTTAGCCCTCAAAAGGGATTGGAATTTTAGGTCATTTGGAAATCCAAAACACATTCATGATCCTCGAGTTTGGACGAACTCTCGACCAATGTTGTAACGATACTTAGTTATTAGATCAAATTATTTATCTATATTGAAACTTGACACACACTGTAGCCCTCATGATGATTAAATTCTCTAATCTCGACTCATTTTCATTTTGGATGTTAGTTTTTTTAGCAGGACACTTAAATTTAGTATATTATACAATATGTATCAGTTGTTAATTCTTGAAGTTTAGACTAAACCTCAACCCGTGGTCATTGTTTATATGTTGGCTTAGAATCTCAATCTAAGACACACACACACTATCAAGGATTTTGGTCTTAACATGGTCGTTGAATGTGTAATTTTCAAAGATTTTATCACTTATATATTAATAATTGATAAAGAGTTTCTACAATACACACATATTTCAAGTGCATTTAAAATGTCTTATCATTAGAACAATATCAGTGGATTTCATTTGATTATTTGCATTAACTTATTATCTTATACAACATATATCAATTTGTGTTTCTCGAGTTTGGACGAACTGGCAACCAATTTTGAGAGTTGAGATGATTGGATAAAGATACTTGATTGTTGGATAAATATGTTTATCCCAATTGACTATCTTAATAAAAATTGTCAACCTTTATTTGGTAAATGCCTAGGTTATTAGTTGATGAAACGTGATATTTATCGTAGATTGTCAACAAAGATTACTTTAACATTCACATATGTTATTTTTCAAGGAACGTTGTGTCTCATCAAGGAATGTTTATCATAGATTGTCAACAAAGATTACTTTAACCTTCACATATGTTATAATCGTCGACGATAACTCCAAATCTGAAAGAAAATTTCTTAGCATACGACTTAGCACCTCAATAGAGCTTGCTCAATCAAACATGATATAGAGAAAATATTATTAATGTGAATTTAGGACACATTATAAAATTATGGCACATGCAATTCCTCTTCAATTGAGGACTTTATGGTAGAACATGATCTGAATGAATAAGAATTCTTTAATAAATAAATAACTGTAACTACTCGATCAAGATTATACTCTAACATTTTGCTAAATAATAATTGTTTTATTTTATAGACATATACTTTATGAATAAGAGAGTGTTTCATTGTAATAAAATATAAAATAATATAGTTTATTTTCAAAGGTAATTAAATGTCAAATGTTTATTTTCTCTCTTTTCATATATAATTTGTTTAATCTATAAATATATTATTGTTTATGTGTATGTTTGTTTAATTTTTTCATCAAAATGTAACTTATCATTCAATTTTAGTAAAAATGAGTAGAAAGTATACTTCATAAGGTTTAATCATATACTTTTTATTTGAACAAATGTGATATATGTCACTCTCTGTTTTCTATTTATATTTTGTTTACTTGACAAAAAAATTATTTTTTATGTGTGTTTGGTTAAATTTATCAACATGTAACTTATTATTAAAGCAAAAAAGAAAAAAATGGATAAATGAAAAAGAATAATTGGATAAAAGAAATGAAAATAACTTATTATTAAAGAAGAGAGAGGTAGCTCCATAAATACATTAATAACTAATTTTTTTGTTTGTAAAAAAGTTGCCAACTTGGCAAACTGTGGATCCTTCAAGGGCTTATGTGGCAAGGGATTGTTTTTGAATTGCCATAATATATAGTATAGAAGATAGATAGATAGATAGATAGATAGATAGATAGATAGATATAGATAGATAGATAGATAGATAGATAGATAAGAGTTTCATCTTGAAAAGCTATGAGATGCATATTACATTAAAATTTGCAAAGACATGCCATTATTTCTTCTGTTGTCCATTATGCAGCAAGGTTCACCTACAACAAATTAGAGGAGGCATGCAGCATGGAACTGGACTGAGACCTGGGCATGACAAAACAATCACAGAAAGAATAAGGAACTGCATGATAGACTAAAAGAGTAAGTACTGGTGTTAGCTGTGACCAAGTATTTCAAGGGCGAGCAACGGGTTTTGGGTTATTTGTTTTTGATCGGAAGGACATTAGGTTTACAGTGAATTTGTGATCACTTGTAGTCGGCTCGAACTGGTCCGGAAGTAGGAAGGATATGATGTTCGGACAGGTGGAGTAGGGGAAAATCAATTTGAGACTTCGTTGGGCATTTGTGTCCTCGCTTCTGCTTCAAGAGCTTACCGCTTCTATCCGCTCGTCCGCCATCCGGAGAATCGTAGAATAAAATCACTTCTTGATCGCCTTATGACTCCTTCTTCCTTGTTTGTGGAGAGAGAAAGTAGATCCGCACAAATGGAGAAAGAGGAAGAGTGGAAGACAGAAATGAAGGGATAAGATAGGAGAGGAAAGAAGAAGTTTGTGTGGCTCGAAAGAGTTAAAGAAACAAAAGCAAACAAAAAATTTAAAAATACCCTCAAAGTTTTATTTAGTAACAAAATGGTCACCTGGTAATCACCCCGACACTCTCGACTAAAAATTCGACAACACCGAGTTTAGTTGGGTTCATTTAACTCTAAGAATCAAAACACATCACCATCGAATTCAACACACTTTAATCAGATCGATTGTTTTACAATTTAGCAGCGAGTTGGATGGAAAGCAGATCGTCAATTGCATCTCTATTTCGTTCCTATTTGAATTCGATGTGATTTTAGGGTGTGTAAGACGATATATGCGTATTAGGTACAAAACAAGGTCACAAGTGTAGCAAGGGGGCAGAAGACTGGAGATCGTGGCCTAGAAGTAAAGATCATGGCCGAGATCTTAGACCGCAAAAATAAGCTGAAGATCACGGCCTAGTAGCCCAAAATCCCGACAACGAATTGGAGGGCTCAGAGCGCGAAATTCTCCAAGAAGGATTCGAGGAGAAAAAGAGAGTTTCCATAGTCAAAGTCAGCTCGCGATATCCTCAATCAAGAAGGCCAGCACAAGTGCGTTTCAAAATCGCGGCCTCTCCTCTGAAGATCCCGCCCGCAATCTCTGTCCTTCTGGCCACAACCTTGTTCGTCCTCTGATTGCCTATAAATAGGAGACTCATTTCACCCTTTAAAGGAGTTGATTTTGAGAGAAGAATTCTGGTTTTAGAGAGAGAGAAAGAGAGAAGCTGAAGGAAGGAGAAGAGGAGAAGAAGGAGAAGGAGCTAGAAGAGAGGAGGCATCTTTCTCAACCTCAAGTCTTCTTTAATTTCTTCTATCTATCTTCTTCGCTCCTTTATGGAGTAGTCCTCAAAGGTACTAGGGGTTCTAAACCTCAAACTCTAGTTTTAGGGTTTATTATGTATGTATGGGTATTTTAGGCTTTGAATGAATGAATGTGTTTATCTAGTTGATTCTATTGCTATTCTATCTTTGATTGTGTTTGGGTAAGTCACCATAATCTTCTCTATTAGCATACTTTACGTTTCTAGGGTATGGAGTTCTAGGGTTAGACGGGTATGCGCCATCAAGCAAATCAAGATAGATGTATGAATAGGGACCTATGGTGGTCGAGACGACCAAACCCCTGCTATAAGTAGCCTTCCTAGATAGAACCTGGGATAAAACCTCGGTGTGGATGGTGGATAATATCCATTGAAATGAGCTACAAGCTTAATGCCCCAGATACGATATCCTAGATGGAGGTGACTTTGTATGGGTTTAGGGGAGGTGTACTCGAAGGCACGTGGATAACCACGAGAGCCCACGGGAAAGACATAATCTTGTACTTGCTTACTTGACTTGAGAAGTTTGAGCTTACTTAGATGATCTCCCGCACAATGGGAAGATATAAGCTTATTAACTCACACTTGGATTAGCTTAGAATTGAACTTGTATTTGCTTGACTCATAACGTAGTTTACTTATGCTTCATGATGCTATGCATATTTATAGTAAATGTTGAATGTAGCAATTTAACATAACACGAAAGCGTAAAGGAATATCATAAACATAAGGCAAGAACTGAAATGCATAAAATGAACTTAAATGTATAGACTGATAACGAAAACTACTCTAGCCCCCTTTAACCACGCACCTTAATTCTCAAATGATTGACTTTATCAGATATCCTGACTAAGTTTGATCCAGCCCCCACTCAATAATTGACACCCGCCAATACTTCTTGATATCCCCAAAATTTGCTGCGGAGCATCCCGTAGCATTTGTTCGACTTTGTTCCACATCAACATAGAATCATGCATTGCCAATTATAATGCACCAATCGTACCCAGCCTTCCATCAATTAGTCACTAAAGTTAAATTTCCCTTGACTTATTGACACCATCATTGACGCACCCTAATTTCTTAGAACAATGAACCTGAACCGACCAAAATTTGCTTTGGATTTTCCCACACATATAATTCCATCCATCCATGCATGCATACGTAGAAGGTTCCACCTATTTTCCCCAGCAAGATCATTTCACAATTTGAAGAGAAAGGGAAGGTCCAGCTCCTTAACTCCATCGTCCAGTCTGAATTCGAACCTCGTGTTGGGCCATCTTGCGGCAGCGGCACCATCATCTCCTACCCGTACGTCATGTACTTGAATTGTCAACACCGAAAGCTCGACAAGGCTGCTGATGGTCAAGTTCTCTCTTTCCCTTGCTCCCTTCGATCCCTTCTCCCCTACCAGATTTTTCGTTGATCGAGCTTTGACGATCGACGGAGGGTGTTTACGAGAAGAACAATGGTGTGATCTAGGGCTTTTATCCGCCGCTAGTGCTAGGATTTGCTCTAGGGTTTGGTTTAGTTTAGTT